GCAGCCACTGACATGCGGGACACAGTGGATGGAAAGGCCTCTTTTTGCTTTCACACTTGGGCTTGATGTTCCCGCTCCCTCCAATTAGCGGTGCTATCTTTACTTCTGTGTGCATTTCGGGGAAAACCAAAAATGTGCACGGGCCTGGACAGTTGACCTGGAGCTCCCCGGAGCCACCGCCTGAAAGCCAAGACGTCCAAGATTTCCTTGCACCTCAAACCACAGTTACACTCGACCTGCAGTTCTTACCACGGCAGAGTGTAGCCACAGGCAAAATAGCCTCCAAGGGAATCTAGTTCTGAATGTATGCATTCATTTGTCTCCACGTGATCTTGTTAAATGCAGGTGCTTTCCACCTCCAAGAGCTGGCCCTCTCTCTTACGGTAGCTCGGAGAAATCTCTTCCTTGAAAGAGAGGAGTGTTACGTTTCTGAGGAATTCTGTACGGGGGCTAGATCATCCTGTGGGGATGAAAGTCAGGAAGATGATCAGGTGAAAAGATTTTGTTCATCATTGTGGGAACTGAATGAGGTGACCGGTGTCCTTGGTTCCTTTATCATGAACGTGGGGCAATTATACATATTGGGCTGTGAAACAAGATAGCAAATGGGAAAGCACGGGGGAGGTAATGGAGGTGGTAGAAGGTGCGCTGGATGGAATCCTTTAAGCCCTCGTGCCGTGTTAACTAGAATCATGACAGCACCACTCACTGCCTACCAGAACCATACCGCCTGTAAGACTGTACTAGGTTCCAATGTGCCAGTTATTAAAATATTAAAATACTTCCCTACTGGGAGGTAAATGGCCCCTTCCAGAAGGCCCCTCCAGTGTTCATGCAGCTGATCCACCTTTGAATACTATACCCAGAGCTAGTTGAGCAGACACTGTTATCTCATTCTAGAGATGGGAAAACTGAGCTTTAGAAAGGCTATATAATGGTGTGTCCCAGGTCGTCTACTGGGTTAATAATAGATCTAGGACCATAAAATTCACTGAATCCAAACCAGCCTCTTCATTCTGTGGCCAAGGAGACCCAGACAGTTTGGGAGACTTGCCCAAAGCCACGTGGTTGGCTGGCAGAAGTCCCGTTTCAGAGCACAGAGAACATGCTGCTGCAGGATGTCACCTTCCAGAAGAGGGGACTGCTGTTAGAAGAGCAGTGGACAGACCCGGGGCCTCTGTCCCTGTTCCCCTGTGTTTGGGGCACTTGGAGCTGTTAAAATCGTCAGGTTCTGCAGCCTAGAAGGGGTGGGAAAAGCTGGACAGTGGGAGCTGATGGGGTGTTTGTGGAAAAGCGCACAGAGGCGGGAGCAGGGGAGACGGGTCCTTTGGAAGCAATGTAGGAAAAGGGAATAGATGAGGGATAAGGTGCAGCCTGAACCCAGCAGCGGGAGATGAGGAGGAGACAAACATCTATTGAATGCTTGTTCTGTCTGTGTCAGACGCTTTATATGTGGTAGTTCATGGGGATACCCTCCCCCCAAAAGCCCTTTGGAGGAGGAGTTTTTAATCCCCACTAAGCATTAAGCCAAGCAACGATTAGAGCCCTTTCAAGGCTCTGAAATGAGCAGGAGGAAGATAGGCTTGCGTTCAGAGTCTAGTGACTCCCCAACCAGGTTAGTGAAGGACTCTCAGAGGTGATTGTCTGAGCCCTAGGCCTTGGTGGAGGTGCTTGGGACCCAAGTCAGAGAGAAACAGGGGGGTTTCTCTGCAACTTCTCAGGAGCCTTAGCCGCAGAGGTGGTTTTACACCTGGAATCTCCGTGTGACGCAGGTCAGGGTCTGAGGAGCTGGGGTGGGAGGAGGGGGAAGTGTGGTGGCCATGGTCCCTTCATGCCTTGCTGCCTAGGGAAAAATTGCCATTTTACATTTCAATTAGGAGGGACACTGGGGTCAATCGTCAGTGCCACCAGAGGAAAATGGGCCCTGCCCAGCCCTGGGCCTCTCCAATTATTATTAATGAACTTACTCTCAGACCTGCCAACCTTTTTATATGCAAACTAGGTCTTTATGGGGCCACTGGCAATCAGGACTCATTAAAGAACTCGCGCCAAGCCTCAGTGAGAATCTTACAGGGGAAGAGAGGCTTACGCGTCTGCCCACATCCTGGACTAGAAGCAGCCCAGCCCCAGGCAAGGTCCCAGCCCTCACAGGAGGGTACAGTAGCTCTGAAGTCCCTCTGGGCGCGGGGAGATCCTTCCAGACCCACCGCGTCCTCCTGATGTAGTCCCGGCCCACCAGGAGGAACTTGCCTCCTTCATTAAGGGGAGGGAAGAGGGTGGGCTGGCGGTCAGCTTCTTCAGCTGCCAACACGTCTACTGATACTGAGCCATGATGTTTCCGCTCCCTGCCTCAATTTCTCCTTTGCAAAGTAGAAGGGATTCATTAGGTTGGTCCAGAGGGCTACCAGATTCCAGACACTTGCTGAGCGTTGTTCATGGACAGTAGTAACATTTTGCTCTAGGAGATGGGAGCGAGAGATCCAGAACTCCTCTTACTCCAAATGCAACCACAGACCCAGCTCCCCAATGATGCCGATGTGGATGGAGCAGGAGGGGAGGTCAGGCTTGTGCATGCTTTAGGGAGAGGAGAGCTGCCCAGGATCTCAGGAAAAGAGAAGAGTGCAGTCAGCACCCTCTGGCTTGAGACTCCCTGCTTTTCATAGATCTCTCTTGATTCTCCAACATCACACACCTCCTGCTCCAGTCTTGTGCATCCTCCTATTCACTAAATCATTCTTGTCTTCTCTGTGTCCTGCAATTCTCATCTTGCTGGGGCGGGGGTGCTGCTGAGGTGGCAGCCGAGGCAGGAGCATAGGATGGAGCTGCTAAAACTCTCTCTATATGGGACCTGAGTCCCTGGAGACCCACGCGCTTTGGAGTCTCAGGACCACGTGCCAGGCTCAGCGCTCTGCCCCTTCTCCCCTCCTGCTGCTCTTCTGTGTTTTCATTTATTTTTAATTGTAGAAAAATACACACATAAAACTTACCATCTTTACCAGTTTTAAGTGCAGATCCGTGGCATTAAGTACATTCATACTGTTGTGCAACCATCACCACCATCCATCTCCAGAACTTTGTCATCTCCCCCAACCAAAACCCTGTCCCCGTGAAAGACTAACTCCCCATTTCCCCTCCCCCAGCAACCACCATTCTGTCTCTATAAAGTTGATTATTCTAGGTGCTTCATATGAGTGGAATCATGTGATCGTTGTCCTTTTGTGCCTGGCTTATTCCACTTAGTATAATGTTTTCAATATTCAGACACACTGCAATGTGTGTTAAGATTTCCCTCCTTTTAAGATGGAATCATATTCCATTTTCAGTATGTATCACGCGTTGTTCATCCATTCATCCGCTAATGGACACTTGGGTGCCTTCCACCTTTTGGTGTGGTGAATAATGTTGCTATGAACATGAGCGAACGAGTTCTAGTCTCCGCTTTCAATTTCTTGGGGTATATATCCCGAAGTGAGATTGCTGGGTCTGCCAGACCTCGGCTAGCTGCCTTGCAGAATAAAGGTACGGGCAGCCTGAAGGAGAGAGGGGGTTAGTTTGATGGGCCTGGAGCGCTCACTCCCCTGTAGTAAGGCTCCAGGGTAATGAGGAAGGACAGAGGCGAGACCACCCCAAATCACGGAACCAGGACTGGGAAGAGCTGAATGGGTCCTTGGATCCCATCTGACTGACGGATAAGGAAGTTGGGTCTCCAAGTTGGGGTGTGATGTGCTCAGGTTCCATAGCTTGTCAGAAGCTCAGCAGGCACTAGAATGCGGGTCTTCGCCCTCCCAACTTTCAGTGACAGAAGGGGCTCATGCTTGCCTTCAGACCCAGGAGGGACAGCTGTCAGCTGCCTGATTGCCTGAGACCCCTCCAGTCAGCCGTTCCCCGGCAGCTCCTTTCTGTCTTACTCGGCTGGGCAGGAAGGCTGGGGTTACAGGCCAGCAGCCTCTGCTGAGAGCAGCATCCTTAGAAGGATGGGTATGCCAGGCTTTTGATGGCCAGCCTGCCCGGAAACCACCTGGCTCAGCATGACCCAGTGTCATAATGGGAGTCGTCTGGGGGATGCTGGGACCTGCCTGACATGCGGGGTCCAGGCCCTGCATGTGTCTGCAGAAGGCCTCGCTCCTGCCCATGCCCATCGGGCCTGGCATTACTGACTCTCTTCCACCCAGGTCCTCAGAATCCAGCTACATGCCACCTGCCACCTTTGGACAGAGGACAGAGCACCCACACTCTGTATTTGACCCCATTTTTCCCCCAGCCCTCCCAGGACAGAGCTGACTACCTCAGGGAAAAAGGGCCCAGTCATTTCCTCCATCCCCCAAGGCTCTCTGGGCCCCACTTAGCCTGAGGGATGAGTGTGCTCATTGCTAGCATCCAAGAGGTGCTCCATGTGTATCTGCTCTGAGGGGCATTTCCATGGGGTCAGGTGCCACAGAGGGCAGTCGGAAGGAAGCTTCTCGATTTTAAAAGGTCTCTGGAGCTCATTCCAGAACATTCCCCATTGCCCAACTCAGCCGCATGTGGAAGACCCTCCTGGGCCCTTCTGCGGTGGTCCAGACCCACTTTCCAGAGCTGGGGCCCAGGGCTCACTGCAGAGCTGCTCTTGTTGGTCTCTCTGTCCCAACTCTTGGCAGCCTAGCACAGGGGTCATCAGCCCCAAGGTGGGACATGGGACACCTAGCAGCAGAGTCTGTCTCTGCTAGGGTGGGAGGGGGGCTGGGAAGAGGCAACCAAGAGTGTCAGAGTCTGGAGGGCATTAAAATGGAACCCGCAGAGGGTGGGCAGTGAGAAGTGGCCCCCAAATGGTGACTGTGGGATCTGGGATTTCTCGGACCCGTTCTCTCCCACATAGAGGCTGGGGAGGGGGGGTGGGCAGCAGTGTCTAGAACCTTCTGTGACTGCGTCCGTGGGAACGCGGGGCAGGGCAGACCTCTGGGCTGTGTCTGGAGAAGCTTCGGCTTCCCGCTCCCCAGCCCGAGCTGTACTGTTTCTTCCAGGACTGCCCCCAGCTGCTGCGAGTGGACAAGATCCTGGTGCCTGTGGAGGTGATCAAGCCCATCACTCTGAAGGCCAAGAACCTCCCCCAGCCGCAGTCCGGGCAGCGCGGGTACGAATGCATTCTCAGCATCCAGGGCACGGAGCAGAGGGTGCCCGCCCTGCGCTTCAACAGCTCCAGCGTGCAGTGCCAGAACACCTCTGTGAGTGCCCCCCGCCTCCACCCCTTCCTCGTTCCTCTCTAGAGCCAAGTCAGCTCAGCTCTGAGGGATTTCCCCAAACAGGCACAGAACAGTCTAGCCCCCTGCCGAACTGCTCCCTCCAGCCCTGCTTTCCTGGCGCAGCCTTGGATGCTCGTCCCAGCAGAGTGCTGGGCTCTGAGGTCACCAAATGTCTGCCCAAGGGCAGGGGCTGCAGCGGCAGGGGCTTGGAGACCCTCCATGGGGCTGCTGAGCACCGTTTGTGGGCAGAGGTATATGCAGGGTATGCTGGGCTCCAGGAACATCCATGTCCATCCTCGCTGAGACGAGCTCTGGAGTCCCTGGGCCCTGAGTGCCTCGTCTAAGGCCCCAAAGGCCCACTGCTGCCTTTGGACCTGCACGGAGACCGTCTCCAGCACAGAGGCCTCCAAGACAGACCAGACCCCTGCAAAGGGAGTGGTGGAACAGGATGGAGCTAGTCAGGAGGGTGCTGCTCAGATCAGCACACACCTGCCCAATGTTTAGAAAATCCACATTAGGTCCACACCCGACCACCGATGGGCCAGCGGCCCCCCCGCCCCTCTGCCCCCCCATTGCCGATGGCTATTGTCTGATTCCTGGGTACCACACCACGTGCCCCAGCTATGCATCACCTTTCCCATCTGGCTGCCCCTCTCCCGACCGTGTGGTCTTCCCAGCCACTACTCTGCTCTCTCTCATTCTCTTTCTGGCCTACTCCTCTGTACCCCGATACTCAAAGACAAACATTAGGCTTTTAGACTCATAACATTTTCAAGCTGTAGGAAACCTTAATATGCTTCCTCACTGTATGGATGAGGAGCTGGATGCCCAGAAGCAGGGGCAGGTCTAGGTTTATGGGGCTGGGACCTATAGGATTTGGGAGACCTTCTTTTAAGAATAAAATGTAATAAAGACAAAATTAAATATATAGGCAGGCCTGAGAAGGGGCCGAAGCTCCATGCACCTCAGGGTCAGAATAAAGCGACATGTCTAAGCTCACCCAGCTAGTGGGGGGGGGGGGGGGGGGCAGGGCTGGATCTGGATTCAGGGTGTCCTCCTATGTCACCCTGCCTCCCATTCATCCTTCCTGCTAGGTACTCATATATGGTGACTGTATTTGGGCATGTGCTATAGGACCAGGAGAGTCCTGGACAAAGCAGTTCATGGGCACCGCACTCTCCCTGAAGGAAAAAATCTAGGGGTAAATGGAGCTCAGAGAGGCCCACATGCTTGCCCAAGGTCACTCAGTATTGCAGGGACCAAACGGACAATTGATGGCTCAACCTCAGAAACCCCAGACGTGTCCCCACAGCTCCCTCCTGTCCTGGTGGCCAGGCTGTTTGGCAGATTTCTGCAGCGTTCCAGGTTAAACCTGCAAGCAAATGGGCTATTAAACACCTCCTGTTTTCTCATAAATCCTGAGGCCAACCAGACCAGCCCCAAGGGTTTGGCTCAAGTGCTTCTCCCCCGAATAAGTAAGTGAGTTCCTGTGGGAAGAAAAAGCCTGAGCCCCACATGTGAGTCAGTGGAGGACAGATAGGGGTTTGGGCCCCAGAGAGAAGTCTGTTTTGTCAGAGACGCTGTCCCAGGGAATCTGGTCCCAGAGCTGTCAGGAAGGAGGACAGTCTGTGGCCTCTGATGATTGAGCCCTTGTTTCCCCAGACACTACAAGATGGGGCCTCACAGGCCCCGGGCTTCCTCTGGCTCAGTTAAATAGACGAGGGCACCCCATGTAGCAGCCTGAGTTCATCCTATAAACTCCTTGGTCAGAACTCAGTGCCTTGGGACCCACTGTTCTCAGCACTCCCGAGCAAGGCCGGACTCTGTGAATGAGCCCACTGGGGGTCAAATTGTCCTGACTGGGGGGGCATCTGAGGCCCCCCCACCCACCAGGGGCCGGTTCACAGGACCTGAGGTCGCTGCTCCCAAAGCAGCTCAGCCTTCTTTATTTCAATACCCTCGTGAGGAAAGTGATGGGAAAGTTTTTTCTGTACCATTTTAAGGTCTTAGAAATGAAGGCAACAGGAGATATACCCCACAAAGGGTATATCCAAGAAAAGTCCCCTCTATCTACCAGGACCCTCTGGAATCATACAGTCCAGGAGGGCTCAGCTCTGATGTTTCCCAGGAGCCTCTCTTTGCAAGGATCCCAGTTGAAATGCTGGTCTGGGCCAGGATGCCACTGGTGGTCAAGTGACTTCCTTAAAAAACTTTGGGGTCATAATCAGGGGCAAGCCTCCTTTACCATAGTTATAGTACCACAGTTACAGAGGACAACATAGTATCAGGGCGAGAATAGACCTGAGAGAGTGTCTATACTTGATCCTGTGACAGAGGGGATCTCTGAAGCCCAGAGAGGGCATATAACCAGCCCCAGGTCACACAGCAAGTAAGTAGCCAGTTCAGAACTTGAATCCAGCTTCATAACATACCCCCCATCAAAGGTTGGGCAAAAAATAGCAACTGAGCACTTTATACCCAGACTGAGTGCAATCCCTGGGAACCAGGTCTGATGTGCCTCAGAGAGGACTGTGGGAGGAGTCATGTTGTTTCACTTCCTCAATCCCTGAACTTTCTGGAATCGGGTGGTGGGGTGGGGAAATCCAACAGAAACCCCAAGTTTCTGATGGTAGAGGAAGGTGGGTGACAAAGAGGTCTCAGAGGAGAGCAGAGAAGGAAAAGAGACACAGGAAAACTCCTCGTGGGTGTGACACCGGGCTGGGTGGGCAGACAGGCCGCCTCCAGCCCACATTTCGGGGACAGGCCCTGGGGCCATCACCAGAGCAGTGGGGGAGGAGGGGCTGTGGGAGGAAAACAGGGCAGCTCACAGGCAACAGTTGGAGGGAGGAGCAACTGTGGGGATTCTTGGCCTCCTTTAGACCAAGGCTCCAGGAGAATGACAAGTGCTGCTAATAATAGTGCCTGGGGCCCGCCCCCCCAGTCACCCGCAATCAGGTGAGCAAGTGGGCGGCAGGGGGCAGCCAGCTCCAGGCCGAGCTCCCACCGACCCACAGGAGCCGCCCATCTTTTCCCGGTGTCCCAATTTACCACGTGCAAAACAAAGATGGAGAGACCGGCGGGGAGGTAACTTGGCCCCCTCCCTGCTTTCTTGGAACCCGGCCAGCAGTGGGCCTGCTGAGCCCTCAGGGGTCCTAGAGATGGACACGGAGCATACACAGCTTTCTTACGTTGTTCAGATCTGTCCGCCCGAATGGTAGCATTTTTCAGCACAGTATCTCAGAGCTCAGAACAGGGAATGGTTCGAGGAAAGAACGTTCAAATTATATAGGTCTTGTCTTTGCTTTCCAAGGTAGAGGTTCACACTTTCCCGAGGTAATGAGCAACGTCAGCCCCGAGCTGGGTTGTGGCATGCCAGACCTTGATTGAGACACTTAACCTCCTGGCCCCCGAGAGCCTGAAACACTCTCCGCTCAGCTCTGGATTTTGTGCAGATTAACTGCCCGCTGATTACAGAGAGCTATATAAATGCTAAGTGCAGCAGAGGTGGGGAGTCCTGGGGGATGGGAGCCAGTGGTCCAGGCTCCCCAGCTGTCGGCCCCCTCCCCCTGTGAAACACAGATCAGGGGGAGAGAGCCTCCAGGAATGAGAGTGACCTCCCTAGAGACGAAGGGGGTGGTGGGGAGGACCCAGGGTTAATGACTTCTATAATATTTCATAGTCAAGATCCCTGGAATGGGCGATAAAAAGATAAAGCAATGCCGAGCACATTCTGGTCCTTGACGTCTTTTATTTTCAATTTTCCTCGAAAAGTGAATGTGTGTAAACACACACATGCACTCCAGAACACATAAGCATTCTCATATGCACACGTCTCCATATGTACCAAGTATCTGGTGCATAAACACTCAATAAATGTCTGCTATTATTACTTCATATAAACATAAACACAGGAAACACCAACATATTTTTGGACAGCATCCCCAAATGTATACACAGAGACATAAAACACACAGTAATATTTGAGAGCTCATTCCATGTGACAGGCCCTGTGCTCGGAGGAATGATGGTTATCCCCACCCCCCGAAGAGTCCTGTTAGGTGTGCAATGTTTGTAATCCCCACTTGACAAATGGGGAAACCGAGACTTACGTTGTTGGCTCACACGCACACAGGTGGGCCCTGCAGAACCCCTTCACAGCAATGTGTGCGAGAATGCATGTGAACACACGTATGAACACACAGACCATACAGATTTGTGCTCTGAGCTCTTCTCTGGCAGCTGCATGTGAACTCATTTGTGCACACGACACACACATGCACACATATGCAGAATTTCTTGCCTTGCCTTCTGGGGGACTTCAGCGCCTTCCTGAGAGAGGCCTGGAGGTTCTATTGAGCTTTGGCTGACGGGCTCCCGGTCACCGCCTGCTGCTTCCACATTGAATCCTGACCAGACCCTGGCCTGAGAAGCAGGAGCCAGGCTGGGATCCTGACTTAGCCCCCCGCCTCATTCCAGCATCCCTCCTAGAGTGGAGGCCAGAACAGCCTGAAGCTGGCCCTTAGCACCTTTCCTGCACTGGGGCCTTGGAAGAGGGAGCTAGATGGGAAGGAGAGGAAGTGGAGCTTGGCTGGAGGAGGGGATGGGAGGGACAGCTGGAAAAGTGTTCTCTCCCTCTCCCCTTCCCTACCTCCTCTCCCCCACCCATCTCTTGCTCCCGCACACCCGTCCCGCAGAGAGTGGAGATTCCCTAACTCCGTGCAACACCAGAGTCACTAGAGTTGTTTCTTTGAAATGCATCCCCATCTTCCAGTTCCAGCAGGTCTAGGCGGAGACCCTGGGATCTGCATGTAGGCCCCCAGACCACCCTGAGACCCACCAGTCTAGGAGAGGACGAGGTTTTGTGAGAAAGCTCAGGATGCCTTAGAGTGACGTGGTCTGACCCAGAGGCAGAGAACGAAGTCTCTGGGGAGTTGATTGCTACAGTACATGGCAAAAGGTTTATGAGTCACCAGCTGAGTGAAGCGATCATCAAAGGCCCCGCTGTTGTTTCTGCAGGGCTGGGAGCTTTGCTTGATTCTATTGGCCTGAGCCCAGACCTTGGCCCTGGTCCAGGTGTCACGGGTCACAAGGGAGATTCTATGAGAGGGTGCGTGGTACAGTGCAAACCACCATCACTGTGGGGGAAGCCCTGAACGTGGCTCCCTGGCCTAGGCACGTGTCTCCAGGGAGTTGGTGAAAAACTGGGGAGTGCTAGGGGAGAGCTGAAGAAGGCTGGGCACCACCGCAGCGATGCGTATGCGTATAGGCCAGCATCAGGGCGTACTCATGTTCCTGCTGTAACTCAGGAATTTAGGGCAATTTCCAAGATTAGGATGACAAACATCCCCTCTAGGAATCTCTATGAGTCGGCTCCAGAGGGAGAGGCACCGGGACAGGCCAGAGACCCTCCCCAGGCTGTGCATTCCCGAGGTTCTGTAGCTGCCCTCCCCTTAGTGAGGTTCCAGCAGCTGGTCAGCTCTGAGGAGGGACCATCGCTGCCTCCATAACGTCCGTCACACACCCCACACCCCAGCCCCTCCACAGTTCAGCTACGTTAAAAGAGCCTTTGGCTCTGCAAACACCACTTCAAACCAGGTCTCCTGGACTGAACCCCTCTAGCAAATTCTGAGCCCTCAGCCCCTCCTTTACAGAAAACCTGTCTCATTCCCGTTCTTCCATCCACCCCCTGTGGAGGGCAGAATCTGGTGGAATAATGAGAAAATCACCAGGTACGGATTGGAAATGCTGCCCTGGGCAGGCCCAGGGTTCCTGCCACCTACCCCCCTTCTCTGGAGATTGAGAAGTGTCTGCGATCAGAAGGTAGATATGGGGGGGGGGTGGCACCTACCCCTCCTTCACCCTCCCCCCCGCCCGCCCCCAGCACACAGTCCCAAGGCAGACACCCAGCTGGGTGGGGCACTGAAGCTGAGGAGAGCAGGGCATGGACGCAGGACCCAGTGCAGGCCCTGTGCAGGCCTAGAGGCAGCTCCCTCATGGGCAGCCACAGAGCTGGGGCCTGGCCTCTTTGAGCCAGCAAAGGCCTTTGGAGTCTTGACCCAGATTCCCAAGTTTGGGGCCTAGGGTGTCCTCGGGATTTCCCACCTCACCTGTAAGCCCTACCCAGCTCTCCTCTCTCCTCACCTCCATCAGCTCAGCTCCTGAGGAGTGCAGCCCCTTCCTTTCTAGTGCCTGCACCCGCGACCCCTGCCTGGGAATTGATCAGCCCTCTCCAGGTCTTTGATAAAGCACCCACCTCCTCTGAACTTGTCCTAGAAATGAAAGTTCCTACATGGAATCAAGGGCCTTGGCGGGGGCCTAATGGCGGGGATCCCCTGGACAGTGAGGGAGGACACTGGGAAAGCCCAGCTGGTGGGGGCCAACATCCGTGGAAGGGGGACAAGTAGCTTGCTCTCATCTGCTCAGGGAATCTACTTTGCAAATGGGTGTCCCATCCAGGCCTCACCTGCCCCCTGCCTGCACCCCATTCCCTGAGCCACACCTCCCCAGGTGTTGTACCCACACATGCACTCGACACACGTACAGTTATGGCAGGTCCTTAGCCCCGAGCACTCCTGGGAGCCCCAGGCTGAAGAGCCGGCTCTCCCTAGAAATCTCCGTGACCCAGCTTTTCTCGTTCCTACCCCCAACCTGCTGCAGTATTCGTATGAAGGGATGGAGATCAACAATCTGCCAGTGGAGCTGACGGTTGTGTGGAATGGGCATTTCAACATTGACAACCCAGCTCAGAACAAAGGTGAGCAAGCTGGGCCCTGGCGGGGAGGCAGGGCAGACGGGAGGAGCGGCTCTGCGTTCCAGGGCACCTGTGATTCTATCCCCCCCTCGGGCTCTGAGCCTGCTCTCCTCGCCTCTCCACTGCTCCGAGACCTCCCAGGTGTGCGCCCACCGTGGGCAGTGGCTCTGGGGCCAACAGAGCCCTGCCGACGCTGGAGGGAGCCCCGATTCCCAGCCCGGCCCCGAAGCGCTCTTCTGGTCTTCTCTGTGTCACAATGGCTGAAGGAACAAGGCCGCTTGTGGCTCATCCTCCGAGGCCGGGACGGCACTCCTGGCCCACAGTCCCATCCCCTCCGGCTCCCCCTCTCACCGCAGAGGACCTCTTGCCCTTCGTCCACAGTTCACCTGTATAAGTGCGGAGCCATGCGGGAGAGCTGCGGGCTGTGCCTCAAGGCGGACCTGGACTTCCAGTGCGGCTGGTGCCAGGTCCAGGGCCAGTGTACCCTGCGGCAGCACTGCCCCGTGCATGAGAGCCAGTGGCTGGAGCTGTCGGGCACCAACAGCAGGTGCACCCACCCCCGCATCACAGAGGTAAGCCAGGGGCCTCGGGGCACTCTGGGCGGCCAAGCCAGGCCCTGCCATGCGTGGCCGTGGTGACAGCCGCCGCGCTGATTCCCAGGGCTGGCTGGGCGCATCCTTGTTTTCCTGCCTAGCATCCCCAGAAGCCGTGGGCTTGGTCCTTCCCCTATGAAGGAAGGTGGAAAACAGAGAGGGGCTCAACTGTCCTGTTGGAGTCTCCACTTGAGCCGTGTCCAGCGTGACTCCAAGTCCTGGCCACTGTCCCTTTGCCTCTAAGAGTCCGGGGGACGAGGCGGTTAAGCTCCATCAGGGACAAGCTCACCAAGCAGTCAGCCATGAGCAGAGGCTGCGTGGAGCCTCAGGGCGCAGAGCCCAGCCCTCGGGAGGTGGAGGGGGTGGAGACTGTGAGACCCCGGACTCATTCAAAGCAAGACCTAGGTGGGTAGGTGGCAGAGATGGATTTGGAGTACATTCAGGAGGGCCCAGTGGACACAGGTGGGGAGCAAAGACAAGGGAGGGGCAGGGCAGAGCTAAACATGCAGAGCACAGGGCTGGAGTCCCAGTTCTGCCAGCTAATTGCTGGGTTTCCCGGGCCTAATTCATCACTGCCTTCTTGCCTCAGCTTCCTCCCCTGTGCAGTGAGTCTAAAGTTCCATCTCGCAGAGGAGTTACAAGGACTGTAGGCGAGAATCATGCAGAATGCTGGCTCCATGCAGAGCCCCTGGGGATCTCACCAACCTCCTCGTCCATCTTTGACACTGTTAAAGCCAAGGGGATCACTGTTCCTGGGGTTTATTTAGGTCACTTGGTGTCTTCACCTCCCCACTCCCCACTCCCAGAAGAAAGACCCCCTCAGCTCCCCGCAACCGTGCTCTCCTGGTAAAACAAAGAAGAGGCGTGCAGGTCTCAACAGTGGGACCCTCTGTGTCTTCAGCACAGTGCTTTGCACATTGTAGGTACTCAACACCTCTTTGCCACGGCGGATGATGATTTTAATAACAAAGCAGAGAGGGGTAGAGACAAAAAGAGGAAAGGGAGCGTAGTCTCTTCTCCATATATAGTAAGGATAGACAGGTACGTGGCTCTGTGCAAAGTTTCACAACCACACACATATCCGATCATCTAAGAGTGGCAGTTATGATAAGAGGAAAGTATGGGCGTGGTGCTTCAGTTTGCAAAATATTTTCATATCCCTTACTTTGTCCATCCTCACAGCAATACTGCCATATGGCTCCTAGGGCTGTCACCACACCGTACCACAGACCAAATGGTTTCAGTGACAGAAATTCCTCGTCTCTCAGTTCTGGAGGCTGGGAGTGGAGACCCAGGTGTGGGTAGGGCCGGCCCTTCCGAGGGCTCCACGGGAGGACCTGCTCCGACTTCTCTCGTGGCCAGCAGCCCATCGTCTTCTCCCTGAGTCCCCTCTCCTCGTCTTTCTGTGTGTCTCTGTCCAAATTCCCTCTTTATTTGAGGATGCCAGTCCTGTGGAATCAGAACCCACCCTAATGACCTCATTTTAACTTGATGACCTCTGTAAAGACCCTTTCTCCAAATACGGCCACGTTTGGAAGTACTGAGCATTAGGATTCCCACAGAGGGATTTGGGGAGGACACAATTCAAGCTATAATGCCTGCCAAAGCCAGGGTTAGCAGCCTCCTTTCCCAGATATAAAGAGCTATGCTCAGAGATGCTAATGTCCTCTCCCCAAAGCCTAAATCAAACGGGTCCTGAATCCCAGGTCTCTGGATTGCCCCTCTAGTGCTCTCTTTCACCATGGAGGCAAGACACCCATAGATGTACTCCCTCACCCCTCCACTCACAATTATGCACGCACACCAGGGATGTGTACAAGCAGGTAGGGAGCTTGACCTATGTGAGCGCACAGCCTCCTTCAGCAAGGCGGCCCCTCGGCGGTGGCCCCTCTGTATGTGCCCCCCACTCCAGCCCCTTCATCCTCCACATCCCTGGTTTTCCAGACATGGGCAGTTTCCCTTAGCCTCTACTTCACTCTCCTGCATGGGTGGGAATCTCAACAGCGATTCTCAAACGGGGGTAAAAGACAGGCATTTAACCTACAGAAGTATCTGGGGGAGGAGGGCCCTGGGCCTGCCCTGGTCCCTCTCCTTCCCAGCCACCTCCACCCGCAGAGCCCTTAACACGGAACCATCCCCGGGGGCTGCCATGCGTGATTGCTAAGAGTGTGTCTGCCGCAAACAGTGGGACTTGCTTTCTTCTTGGCCTGAGACCAAGAAAATCACAGGGAGGAGATGGCAAATTAAACAAGTCTCCCTGTGAGGGAGGCTATTTACCAGCTCCACACTGGCATGGCCCTCCGGGGAGCTGGGGAACCAAGGACTGGGCCAGAGATAAAGCTCCTTTTTCAGGACAACATGCCCGGGCTGGAATATCGTGCACCCCCTGCTGCCAGGGGCCAGTGGGGCTTTGGGGACTGGCTGGGCAGGCATTTGGGAAGGACAAGCACTCCCCCTTCCGGTCCTCCCTACATCTGCCCACCGCCCTCACATAGAAATGGGCCCATGTCTCCAAGGGACCTGTCTTTCCACTGCCACAGGAGCACACGTGAAAACCCTCACCCTCATGTGCACACTCACCCACAAACATGCATGGGTAGGAAGAAGGAACTGTCTCAACTTGTCGGTGAACAGCCTTCTCCAGCGAAGCTGTCCCTCCAGGCTGGTTTCTTTTACTCCCCCCTTCTCCAGGCTGTGACCTTTGAGGGTAGAGAGGGTAGGAAATGTTAAGAGGTGGGCTGTCTGAGCTCCTTCAGTTGGGATCCCATGGACATTGACCAAGATCCAGGCGCTGGTGTTGAGAGACACCAGGAATGGGAAATGTGCCCTTCTCTGGTCTTTCGAATGACAGAAGAGGCTGGTATAGAACATCTTCTGCCACTAAAGTCACTACCGTGGGATGTCGCAATTAGATCGTGGGAACATGTACAGGCCCTTTGGCTGTTGATTCCCAACATTTCCATCATGGGTTTTTAACACCAATGGTGACATCTGAGGAAGAAAACCCAGTCATTTGGGCCAGTATATGAAGGTAAAGTCTAAATTAAGCCCATCTCTGTTAGAAACCAAGCCAGACAGTGAAGGCAAAGGGGCTGTGGCAAATGCTCTTGTAAATCCAGGAAGATGCTGAGTAGTTGTGGTTTCCAGCCCAATGACAACTCAAGAAATAAATATGGTGCCATCACTGAGAAGTCCACAGGAAGTAAGACACCATTCTTGCGCTCAGAGACTCAGGATCTGAAGGATGAGGAGGATTCAGACACAAATCATTGTTACCATGAAAGGAGCATGAAATTTCAGTGGAGAGAGAGAACTGGTTATGGAGAAGGGACATTTGAGAAGGATCTTGAAAACTGGGTGGCTTGCCATAGTGTGGAGGGCTGTGGGCATTAAGAGGGCTTTTTTTCATTTTCCTTCAGAATGGAACAACACAAGCAAATGCCTAAAGGCTTTATTCCTTGATTTTCTATGAATTACCCGGTAACAATGTGGATCACGTTCCATCCCCTCATCTCTGACACAAAATAGGGAGGCGAATGAGAGGATTTGAACATTGTTCCTAATACCACACACAAACATGGACTGCTCTACCAGAAGCTCCCGCCAATGACAGTCCCAGACCTGGGTGCCCTTGTGGATGTGGGTCCAATTCAGAGACTCGCACGGAGGTGGGGAAGAGCCAGACGCCTCTCCTTGCCCCAGCAGCAAGTGGGGGATGGCTCTATCTTGGTGCCTGTCCAAATCACTGCTTCCTCCCTCCAGATAATCCCAGTGACAGGTCCCCGGGAAGGGGGCACCAAGGTCACCATCCGAGGGGAGAACCTGGGCCTGGAATTCCGGGACATCGCCTCCCACGTCAAGGTGGCCGGTGTGGAGTGCAGCCCTTTGGTGGATGGCTACATCCCTGCAGAACAGTAAGTGGAGGCCCCATGAGACATAGGGTGGTGTGGCTATCTGGTGTTGACTCGCCTTCCCTGGCCAACAACTGACAGCCAATGGCCAACGGTGTTAGAGACTGTTGGGGTGGTGGGGGAGGTAGAATGCCCCTAACATTCTAGTGTCCTCCCCAGCTCTTGAACTAGCTAGCTGCCATATTGGCAAGTGTAGAAAGGGGACATGGGGCCAGGAGGGAAGAGAAAAGTGATCGCTACCTCCTTGAGGTGTGGCCATCGGTGGTGACAAGACAAAGCAAAATTAAAATCTGCAAGAGAAGTATGAGTTCAGTTCCCTACCCCCTTGCCGTCCCCAAGTCCCCACTCCTGTCCTCCTCCAATTATGAAAGAAGCTGAGGCTCTGCTACTTTCTGTGGAGACTGAAAATGAAACCTCACACCCACTCCAGCCTGGAGGCCTCTGGGATTGTTTTTTTCCATGCAGAGCCTGCTGGAGCATGGAGTGGGTCATTCCGTGATCAACCTTTACCTCCCAGCCCACCTGTTAGAGGAGATGTGAGAGTCATGTATCATTGCCTTGTAAATAAGTAAATACAATTTTCCAGCCCAGCAAACACCCCATGAAATGTTTACCAGCACAACAGAATCTATATTCTATACCATCTCGACGGCCCCTCCCAGAGCGACACCTAGCCACTTGTCCTTAATAACAAGTAAGTTATTGACACTTTCTAGGTCTCCCTTAGGTACATCAGTACAGCTTACCTGTCCGCTTGCTGGGTCTTGCCCAGATTTAGTGATTCTGGAGCCATCGGTACCACCATCTGATTTCCATCCGGAGCTTCCTAAAGCACTCTTAGTAGTTCCTGTGACTGAAGGATCTACTCTTGATGGAATTCACCTCCCTGGTCCCTCATGGCTTATTTGCCCAAAGAGCTTTCTGTGGCTCTTTCAACTTTTGGAGTCCTTCCTAGAACAAAACCAAAGCCAACTGCTACCAATCTACTGTGATTTGGGGAACTTTAAAATGCCCTACTCTGGACCTTCATAGCCAAACAGAAAATATATGATTACAAAGTCACATAATTGCAATATCGTGGTACTAGTTAGATCAGTGGAAGAAGATGGAACACCCAGAAAAGAATCCTGATACATAAAAATTTAGTATATGGTAAAGGTGACACTTCAAATCAGCAAGGAAAGCAAAGATCAGTCAATAAGCAGTGGGGGTTAACTCTCAGGAAAAATATATATATATATCCAACCCTCATTTCACATTATACACCAAAATAAATTGCATACAGATTAAAGAGTTAAGTGGAAAAAAATAAATCTGTGGAATGATTAGAAGAAAATGCAGGTGAGAATTTATTTGATTTCAAGTAAGGGAAGTGCAACTGTTCTAACAGCAAAAGAAAAAAAAAAGTTATAAAAAAATATTAGGAGATCTGAGTATATAAAACTTAAAATTTATACATCAAAAGTCCATGTAAACAAAGAAAAATATGAACAATAAACTGGGACTAGCGATATACCCTATGACAGTTAACATATGCTTTTTCTTAATATACAGAGGTTCCATAAGTAAAAAGGCAAATATCACAAAATGAGCAAAGAGTATGAATGAGCATGAATGTGCAATTCACAAGACAAAGAACCAAAAGTCATAAAAAAAAGTTAAATAGCATTAGTAATCAATGAAATGAAAATTAAAACAATGGGGAACAGTTTTAAAAAGTTAATGCCCAGTGCAGGTGAGAAGCATGAGAAATAGCACACTCATACATTCATACTTGGAGGGTAAATTGGGACACACTTTGTGGAAGGCAATTTGGAAATGTGGATTGAAAGCCTTTAGCCTAGTCATCATATTTCTAGAACTTTACTTAAATAGCCAGAATGCACAAATATTTTTTTGCAAGAATACTTATTTTGGTCTTATTTGTAATCGTGGAAATGTAGAAGCAATTTGTATATTTTAAAATAGGGAATTAATCAATTCTTAAATTATTGCACATGCACAGGACAGTAAATTATATAGCCATTAAATCTGATATTGCAGAAGAATCATGACCAGGTACATACTCAAGGTGTATTAGTGAGAACATCATTCACCAAGCAGAATAGAGTTTCTAATGAATTCTGTAAAAGAAAAATAAGACTGAAAACCCGAACGCCAGAATGTTGACAGTGGATATTTCTGGGTGGTTCAAACGGGGTGAGAGGAGGTGTCTGTATGGCAAGTGATTTTATGCACTTTCTCTTTTATCTTTATACTGAACATGCACTAATTATGCTATCTGGACAGAAAGGCATATATTTTTACTGGACTCTCACCCAGAAATTTTTTCTTTCTAAGAGAGACACAGAACCTAGAAGCCATAAAGTAAAAGAAGGAGCCACTGAACCACAGACACTTTTAAACTTTAGTGTGGCCAAAGACATTATAAACAATGTTGAACTACAGAGGACAAGCTGGGAGAAAATAATTGCAATACTTACTAGAAACAAAAGTTAATACTCCTCATTCAGCAGCTCCTACAAAAAGACAATTCATTAGCAATATAAAGAGATAGCTTCAGACCAATCGAAGGAAAGGCTATCTAAGATTTTTTTACAACCACACGCACATACTTGCAAATATCTGCAACATCACTAGTAATCAGGGAAATAAAAATGACAGCAAAAAAAAGGGATCATCTTTCCCTATTATATTGGAAAAACTTTCAAAGGATTGATACTATCTGGTGTTGGCAAAAGAGTAAAATAATCTCACTCAATTGCTTTTGACAGAAGTACAAATCAGTAACGACCCTGTGGGACCATTATTTTCTTCCACCTATCAAACATCACATACATAAACAATGACCCCACAAGCTCCCCACTTAGAGCCTTATCCTAATAAATGTGCAATGCTTGAGGATATGTGTATAAGTTGGTTCATTCTGCAGGGTTATTTGGAGTAGGAGAAAAATGAAGGGATGTTAAATGTCCATCAGTAGGAGGCTGGATAAATACACAATGGTGCAGCCGCGGCATGAAGCGCTATGAAGCTGTCAGAAAGGATCCGGTAGAGCTGTGCATGCAGCCACACGGGGCAAGTCCACGCTGGGCTGTGCAGTGAAATGACCGGGGTTTGGGACAGTGGGTAGTTATGTTTCACGTTTATTTTAAAAGTCATGTATATGTTTATATAGGTATGTTTGTATATAATTGTACATGTGAATATATATAACACTTATGTTTACATGTGTGTGTAATAACCAAACACACACACACATATATATACACATACATGGGTGCATATGGGCAAATATACATATTTGGGCAAGTTGCCTAACTTTTCTGTGCCTCAGCTTCTTCACCCGTAAAATGGAGATTTTGTATATATTATATATTACATATGTTTGCATAGATCTAGAGAAAGGTCTACGAGTATATATATAAAATTTTGAAGAGAGATTAGGAGTGAAGAAAGGAACACTTATTTTTATAGTCACACTTCTGTACTGTCTCATTTTCAAGGGGTATGAACAAATTTTGTAATTAAAACAAGCAACATTTTTAAAAGGGGACAAATGCACGGCTCTCGTCTACCCCTCCCCCTCCCCCCAAGCAGGAGTCTCCCGACCAAGCACCCAGCTGGGGCTGGGGATGAAAACACTCCACTGAGGCAGTCCATGCAGTAGGAGCCAAGGGCCCCTGGGTGAGGGTCTGAAAACCTCAAGTCTGCTCCTGGGTCCCTGTCTGACGTGCTGTGGGCCCTTGGGAAGGTCACTACCTCTCTGGGCCCTGCCAGCCGTGTTCCCTAAGCTGTTTGGCTGACACATTCCCTGCCCTCTGGTTCACAGTTGAGGGGACAATTCCTGAAAGAGGGACTGAGTGTCTGGGGTCAGAACACAGGGGCCCTCCCCTAGGCCCCTCATTTGACAGGGATGTCCATGGAGACCCCTGTAGGTTGCATTTCCCAAGAACCAAAGAGGAGCCTTGCAGGGAAGAATGTTTCCCCTCCGCCTCCCCTGCCCATCCCTGAGACCCTACTGCAGAGAAGGGGCCAGGGGAGGTGCGGGGGCCAGGGGTCACATCTGGAGTCCTGTGACCCTGCTGTGACCATGGGGATCTGTCCTCTCTTCCCTGCAGGATCGTGTGCGAGATGGGGGAGGCCAAGCCCAGCCAGCACGCAGGCTTTGTGGAGATCTGTGTGGCCGTGTGTCGGCCCGAGTTCATGGCCCGGTCCTCACAACTCTATTACTTCATGGTGAGTCCCGGCCACAGGCGACCTGCCCGGGCGCAGGCCACAGACCACATGACCATGGTTACGGGCCAGGCTAGACCTCTGTGGGCAGACCCTGAGCAGCTCGTGGGAGTCTGTCCTGCAGCGTAAAAACGCAGCCCTGGAAATCTGAAAGACCGGATTCAAATCAAAGCCATGCTGTGTCCGGCCCTGATCCAGGGAAGCCGCCCTGGCTGTCGGGCCCTGCATCCGCCTCGGGCTGAGGGGCCGTGTGTCTGGGCCAGGAGGGGGGTCCCGACTCTGCCGCTTACTCACAGGGCGAACCTGGGGATGCTGCTTAGCATCCCAGTGTCTTCATTTCTAAAACGGGGGTGATAAGACTTGCATCTACCCCACAGTACTGTTGTGACAATTACATGAAGTAGACGCATCACTTCTCTCATCTGCATGGTTTCTGTGCCCGCAGGACTGCTGTGCCCTGAGCTTTCCGGGTACACTCACACCCCATCATTTCTATCCCATCATCCGCTTTCAGCCTGCCTTCTCCACTCCCCATCTCCCCATCCCATGACCTTCTTAACCCCACCCGCATCCCACACCTCCCCTGCACCCCCACTCCCCCTTCCTCTAAGCCACACCATTACCCTTCCCTGCACACCCCTCCCTTCCCTTCCTGTGACCTGTCTGCAGACCTCACCCCTACCGCCACATTCCCTCCAGCTGGGACCCTCGCTGGCCCTGCCAAGGCAGCCCCTGGTGAGGGGTTCTGGGGGGCAGGGGCTCTGGGGACCTCTCAATCCCATGATGTCTGACATGCGGGAGGCATGTATGTCTCTGCTGTCCCTCACGCTGCCTCATTTTCCAAACTGTCTTACCATCCAGGTCACTTCTGGGGCTAATGCCCGCTGTGATAGGATAGTTTCCTCATGGTTCCGCACTGCTTTGGGAAGCTGGGAGCCTGAAGTGATGGACTTTATGCCTGGGCGTCAAATGCTCCAGAACACATCACGGGGAGCCCACTTTTCACCCTCCCTTCCCCCACCCTCCACCCCTCCTCCCCTCTCCTTCCTCTGGCTTCCTCCCCCTCCTCCTCCTTTCTCCCTTCAACTGACAACCATGTATCACCTTGCAGGATCCCTTCCACTAGATTATTTGATAAATATTTGCTTAATTGGTTGAATCTTATAATTCGGTGGCCCTGGCTTGTGGGTGTTCAGGGATGACTCAGACCCTGCACAGCCCCTCCCTCAGGGGGCCCGCGGTCTAGAAGGAGAGGTAGAGTGTAGGACGGATGTACATGCGGACGCGACTGTGGTGGGGGCCCAACCCTGCAGGAATGTGCATCAGAGGCCTCTTCCCGCTGATGCCCTGCTCTCTCTGCTCCCTGCCCTACTCCTAAAAGTCTTCCCTCCTTCTACACACAGTTGGTCACGCTGCACACACAGGAACTCACGTAGAAGAACACACATATGTGATGGATTTAATGGATATGTAGGCTTCCCATCTCTAGGATTTGTACCCCCACCTTCTTCTTAAAGGATCCGAGGAAGTTTCCCAATGAAACCCAACACACCTGCACACAATTAGCGATACATGAATACTTGGGTATATGTAGAGAGACAGCATGTTTACTGAATATGATATAGATGGAGCTCTACATAAATTGTCAATCCAGTGGAGTTGAGATACTGAGAGGGAGGGAGACAGACAGAGACAGAGGCAGAGACAGCACTCCCCAAGTGTTGAGAGGTGTGGCGTGGCGCCACCGTGGGAACAGGGAGGATGCCCCTGCGTGGGCAAAGCAAGCACTGGGCTTCCTCAGCCAGTCAAGTGCCCCGAGCAGTTTGCATCCTGGCGTCACTTGGCAGTGACAGAATGGATGGTACTAGGGATGGCTGAAGCTTCCTTGGGGTGCTAGCCATCTCTGCCATGTCTCACCTCCATGACTCACTCCAAGACCACTGGACCCCTGGCTGTCCAGCTGTCACCTCCATGACCCACTCCGGCTGCCGGCTCCCACAAACAGTGCATCCCCCTCACTCGCCCATTTCTGTCAGGGACTTGTCACCCGGCCACAATTCTGGTGGACTGTGGCTCAGCTTCCCTAAATTCCAGATTTTAGCCACTCCATCACCATGTCCTGGAGTCTTACTTCTCCCACTCTCTTCGCTGCTGCACTGACCTCCTTAAATCCCTGATTTTAAAGGTCTGAACCCACTCTAATCGACCCGGCCCTGCAGAATACTGTTTTCATCATGTTAGGCCCACCTCAAGAAGGACCAGGGTGCCGTCCAGCCTTCTCGGTCTGGCCCGCCCTGTCCATCCAATCCCGTTTCCCAAGGCTTTGCATGGCCTGACCCCTCTCCCTTCTCCATCTCCTTCCCCACATTGCCCCAAGCCGCGTCCTCCTCATGAGTCCACGCCCTGCTCGTGGGCCCCTCCACGCCTTCTCTGAATACACAACCCACAGCACCCACGGTTCTGTGGCTCACTGGGGATTCCATGGCGTCTGCCCACCCACACTGCACCGGGTGTTATGACTTGGAACCCCTGCTCCTCTGTTCAGACCAGTAAGTCTTTGGAGATGAAGCCCTGGCCGTTTACTTCTTTGCTAGCCCCCAGGGTGCTCAGGCAGTTCTAAACCTCCCTGCGTGTTGGAATCTCCTGAGGGGCTTTAAACAAAAGGCTCCGGGGCCCCCCTGAGCTAAGTCACACGTTACAGGGGGCACAAAGCTCCCCAGGAGATTTTAACTCAGCCCAGGCTGAGGACCACTGGCCTAGGAGAAACAGAACTTAGAGAACAGATATCATGTGCCTGTCCATATCTGGTTTCAGGCTTAATTCTTATAATGAGCCTATGTCGTGTTCAAAAGCCGCTTCTGCTCTCGGGTAAGGCCAGTCTGGCCTGCGTGATTGTTTCTACTCTGGAGCAGGATGTGGTTAGAGGCAGGGTATCAGGGTGAGGCTTCCAGGAAGAAGCTGGGTGGAGAGGCAGGATCTGTACAAGGCAGAATGTGATGTTCCATATGAATCTGGAGTAATGGGAAGCTGACCCTGGCATGATGTTTGGAAATGCACCCAAAAATGGGAACAGAAGGGAGGAAACGGGAAGGGGGTTCGTGGGAAGAGAAGAGGTGGGAGCACAAAGAGAGGTCGGGAAAAGATGAGAGTTGTTGCCACAAGGCAAAACGGCATTGGTCCAGTGGGGCCGTGGGACTCAAAGATTTGTGTGGCGTTTTTATTCGAGGGCTACCTCTGAGGAACGGTACTGGGGAAGACTTTCAGAGAGGAGACCTCAGCCTCGTCCCCAGTCCCCAGTGTGCATTTAGGGGCCCAGTCACCGAGGCTGCCCCCACAGAGCTCCTAGGGGGCCAGGGTGGGAGTGAGGGTCACCCAGCAGGTGAGAAGAGACAGAAGGACCCTCTCTCAAACTCCCCAGCATCTCAGAGCCTTCATTGCCTTCCCGTTCCACTAGGCAGTTTGCAGGGCGCACAGAGAAGCCCCTGACTCTGCTGGAGTCCTGAGACAGCTAGAGAACCCCTTCCCAGGGGCCCTCTGGGGACTTGGGGCACATTGGAGAGCCCCTTTTCAGGGGTGCCTCTCAGGATCTGGGGCATGCTGGGGAGCCCCTTCCCAGTGCTGAGGTTGGGAGTAAGGTGTGGGTCTAATAACTCAGTTTCCCACCACAAATCAGGCCAGACTCTGATGTGTGGGTTTATTCACCCAAAACCCAACTGCCAAGGCCAGCATTCTTGGTCTTGTCCCCAGTTCTGTCCCTAGAGATCTCCATGGAGGGAACCTTTGCCTTCCCTACCTCCAAGTGAAGAGGTGGCAAATAATACAGAATTGGATTTCCCGTGCAAACCCACCGTGAAATATTTATGAAGCATGACTTGAATAATTAATCGTTTCTCACAAATTTAAAACATGTCTCCGTATCATCCTCTCCTCACCCTAGAATAATTCCCCCGCCCAGCCCGCCACTGCAGAGCCAACAGGGATTACTCACTTCCATCCCTTCTAGAACCCCACCCACAGGCTGCCAGAGAACCTCTTCGGAATTCCCATGTTGCTCCCACCGCCATCTATGGGAACTTGTGTGGGTTTTGACTCTATCTCTAGGACCACCCTTGCCTTGCACAGACTGCACTCTCTTTCCCTTCCAGACAGTGGGACAGAGGCACCATCTGTGGGAGGTGACCCTGAGTTACAGAACCAGAAAACCAGCAGGCACCTTTGAGATAACTCGTTTTGACCCAGCTCTCCGATTTTATGATCAGAGCGGTTACGAGGCTTGTTCTGGGTCACACAGCAAGATCTAGGCAGAGCTGAGAAACGAAGTCTCTTCCCACAGCCTCACCCCACCCTTGCCTGGGTTTCCGTTTGGGCCAGGAGCAGCTCTGGAATGAAGCATTCCTTCGTTTTATGGGTGCCAGGGGGATGCCGGGCTCAGGATCTGCAGGGACCCGGTGGGCGGCAGGGCGGGTGGGCCCCTGTGAGCTGCGGTCAGCGAGTCACGGGGGCTCCTCCTGTCCTCCCAAGGTGTTAGGGATTGAGGCCTCTCTGTGGGGAGGTGGCCCGCCAGCTGGGAGCCAAGTAAGTTCAACTTTTGGTGCAGAATTCTTTTTTTTTTTTTTTAAAGATTTTATTTATTTATTTGAGAGAGAGAGAGAATGAGAGAGAGCACATGAGAGTGGGGAGGGCCAGAGGGAGAAGCAGACTCCCCACCGAGCAGGGAGCCCGATGCGGGACTCGATCCAGGGACTTGATCCAGGGACTTGATCCAGGGACTCCAGGATCATGACCTGAGCCGAAGGCAGTCGCTTAACCAACTGAGCCACCCAGGCGCCCTGGGTGCAGAATTCTTTAAGGGGCAGGGAAGAGAGAAATCTTCATTTAAATGCAGATACAGGCTTCTCACCTGGGCCTGAGGAGAGTTTTTTCCATTAAAATGCTAATGAAAGAACAAATCGCAACGCCAAATCCTCAGCTCACAGGTGCCGCCTCCCCTCCATCCTCACTCAATCCACTGACCCTTCTTCGCTTCTCCTCCTGGGTTTTCCTGGGGCCTTCAGGACCCATCGTTCTGGCCTCTGGGTGTTTGGGCAGCTCTCTGGAAGAGGCCCGTGGAAGGAGCAGATCACGTTCCCAAAAGCAATTGGAGAGGTGGTAGAGTCAGGGCTCTGGAGTCAGATCTCAGACGTGCCACTTTTTAGCTGTGTGACCTTGGGAACTTTACTTCACGTCTCTGAATCTCTTCTGTAAAATGGGTAATAATACCTACCTTGTAGAATTGACTGGGCACATACCTTATATAGAGATGAATGAAGAGAAAACCTGCCAGGTAAAACACCAGCACACAGCCGCTGTTATTATTACTGTTATTAATAGAGAGGTGTACACTCTCAGGGTCCAGAACACGGCTTATCCACACAAGCCCAATACGACTTCGTGGGCTCGTTGGGAGGCCACCGTTACTGAGCGGCTCTGGGAGCGGGGTGCTGCCTCTTCAGACCCCGGTTGTGTCTCAGGCCAGATCCTTTCCTGAACAGACACTGACTCTCTCGGACCTGAAGCCCAGGCGGGGGCCCATGTCCGGGGGCACCCAAGTGACCATCACGGGCACCAACCTGAACGCGGGCAGCAACGTGGTGGTGATGTTCGGGAAGCAGCCCTGCCTCTTCCACAGGTAACTCACCTCCAGGCAGGCCTCGGGGGCTCACAGCCCAGAGGGTGGGGTCCGTAGGGCTGCCCCAGGGCTACAGACTTCCTGAGCTCACCTCTTGGAAGTGCTTTCTCCTCCCTGAGAAAGTGGCTGTTCTCTTTGAGGGGGGATGGTATGGGCATACCTGACTGTGGATGTTTTGGGCTCAGTCTGGAGACCTGCCAGGCAGCCCTTCCTTAGTTGGGCCATTCATTGCTATTGCCCACCATTTAGCCTCTGTGCCCCTATACCAGCCACTGTACGGAATCCTAGGGTTTCCCAGGACACACTGGGGAATCTAGAGCCCCTGCCCCCTGCTGCAGAGCCAGCTGGGACTGCTGAGCCCCCTACCCAGCTGGCTGAGGTTGAACCTCCCAAGGGCAGCTGGCTTTCTCTCCCCTGGCTCCACCGTCCAGGCTCAGAAGGGCACACCTTCGATAAGCCAGGAGCCTGGAGGGTAGAAGGCAGGCAGGAGGTTCATCTGATGCAGGACTCGGAGACGTGGTGGGGATGTGACATTCTGCCAGGGAGCTTTTCCCGGGACAGAGCTATGCTGAGGCCTGTGGCAGATCGGAAGTCAGGCCAGGGGTAGAGAAAAAATTGTTCTGACACTTGCTAAAATAGTGAAGAAGAGTTTACTCAGGACTATTGCAGTAGGTATCAAGACTATCACAATGGGGAAAGAAAGAAATCAGTCTTGACTCCAAATACAGCAAAGACAGCTGGGGATTTACAGCCAACCAGCAGAGCGAGGGGGTCACTGGTGTGAAATTACTAAGAAGCAACAGCAAGAATAGGAAAATTCTTGCTAAACCGACTTAACAGGATTCTTGCTGCAGGCCGGCCGGGGTGATCAGGTATCAAGGGGGCAGGGGGACTCTGGGTGACCTCACTTTGCAGGATTCTTGCTAAAAATGGGGTTTGGCAGGCCCAAGACAGGGCCCAAGGATGAGGCCTCATTGAAAAGGGGTCTCAGAGGAACCTGCCTACTACTCTGTCAGTAGTTCCTGGAGCTTTCCACCTGGGGCAGTGCTCACCGTGGCCTCTGAGGAGCCTGGGAACAGGGAGGGGTGGAGGGCCCTAGCCCCTGCCTGGACCCCGGTCCCCTTCAACACTCGGGAGCCCAGCTGCATGTCTGCCCTCCCTGCAGACGCTCTCCATCCTACATCGTCTGCAACACCACATCCTCAGATGAGGTGCTGGAAATGAAGGTGATGGTGCAAGTGGACAAGGCCAGTATCCACCAGGACCTGTTCTTCCAGTACATGGAGGACCCCACCATCGTGCGCATCGAGCCAGAGTGGAGCATAGTCAGGTAGGCGTGGCCCTGGTTGTCCTCCCTTAACTCTCCAAGAGCCAAGGACAGTCTTGGGGCCCAGTTATTCTTTGAGGACTGATGAATTGGGGTTGGTTCAGAGCACCCCCCAAATCAGACCTTCCTGCCAGGGTGCCCTCCTTCTACTGAGAGTACCTCCAAGTGGGCCCTGACCCCAGAACCCAAGCTCCAATCAGCAAGAGCCCATGGCCCCTCATCTGAGGATTTGGTGCGTGCCCCTGGAGGCCATGATCCCATCACTGTGCCCCTGGAGGCCGTGAACCCCCAAATATGGGCTTGAGGTCAGAAAGAGTGGGCTTAGCCCAGCTGAATGACCTTAAAGGTGACTTAACTTCTCTGGGCCTATGGTTTCTCATCTGTCAACTCCCTCCCGGGACTCTGGGAGGGCTAAGCCGGATGCATAGGCACAGTGCAGCGCCTGGCTCAGCTCTCTCCCACTGCCCCTGGCCCAGTCGTCAGCCCTCCCCACTGTTGGCTTCAGTTCTAGAGGGCGTCTGGCATCGAGGGGAGGGGGAGAGCATGAAGATGTGGTCTCCATGGCTGAAGCAGGAGTCAGGGACCAATCCAGTCCAGAGAATAGTCTTCTAAACTAGGGGTCAGCAGACTCCAACCTGGGGGCCAGATCTGGCCATCTGCCTCCTTTTATGAATAAAGTTTTATTGGAATACAGCCATGCTCATTCGTATATGTTTTGTCTTTAGCTGCTTTCTCACCACAGCAACAGAGTTGAGTAATTGCAACAGACCATATGGCCTGGGAAGCCTAAAATATTTACTCTCTGGCCCTTTGCAGGGACGTTTGCCACCCCCGGCCTTACACCCATGAAAGGCCGTGGAGATAAGATTGGCTTGTTCTCACCGGTTACTCCCTAAGACCCACACTTTATAAGCGTTGGCCGTGTTTTTAAAGTAGATGACTACAAGGCACAGAAAGGGGGAAAGCATCTGTAGAAAGCACTTCTGGGATTTGCCCCCAGGGCCTGGTGAATCCAGGAAGTTGGTGTAGCCCTTAATGTAGACAAACTCTGCAGCTCCCTGAGGAGGCCTGGTTTAACTCAGTTCTTCCTCAAGTCAACAGCACGGAAATAGAGACATCGTCCTTCCTGGCACTCAGTAGCTGACCCTGAGTCATGTTCATAACCAGTGCGAGGTTGGAAGCACGTTCTGGGCCTGCCAGCCGGCTCCAGAGTTTGCTGCAGTGAACAGATTCTCTGAGGGGTGGGGCCCTGCAGAGCGTGGCTTTGCACCACTCACAACAGGCTGGGCTGCTCACCAACAGGGATGGGGGGTTGAATTGGTGATTAAGAAGATTGGGAGATGGCAGATAGCAGAATCTCATTCTGGAACACCACCATGGGCAGAAGAGCCTGTCTGGGTTTTACAGGAATCTTCCGGCGTGTGCGAGTGTGAGTGTGTGTGTGTGTGTGCGTGTGTGTGTGTGTGAGAGTGGGGGACAGGTGGAGAGCAGGGAATAACAGGGAGTACAGAGATGGGCAGAGGCACAGAGAGGGAGACATGAATATGGGTGTCACGGATTCTTCACTCACCAAGCTTATAACTAACTGTTCCAGATAGTAGGATTCTTCTTGAAGATACTCTCTGGATTGTGGAGAAAGTGACTTGTCACTTTCCTTTGAGTAGCCCCCAAGGAAGATAGCTCTTGCCTCAGGTCAGCTTCTTAGAGCCCTGCATACAGCAATTGGCATTGAGGTTTTCTTTGGAAAGTTACACAAAGAGGAATCTCCTGCTCCCTCCTCCTCCATACCTGGCTGACATCCAGGATACAGGAGACCTGAGTCCCAGAACATTTGCTGTTTGCACCACGAGGTTCCTGGGTGTCTGGGCCTCTGCCTTTCCCAGATCTCAGCAGACGGAAGCTTCCAAGGTGAAATTGTAGTGATTCCTAGGGAGGAGACTGTGCTCAGACCCTGGATGGTTTAGTGGGGAACATCTTGGAACAGGGCTTTCATTAGGCCAAGGCCAGGGTGGAAATCTCCCTGTGACTGGTGAGGGCTGGGGGAGAGACACCAGGGGGCTGCAGAGAAGCATCCGACTCAGGTCAGGAGGCTCCAGAGCCTCCACGGGTGTCCACACTCCAGATGCGCTCAGTGCAGGATGGCCACAGACATCTGGTCATCACTGCTGTGATGAGTGATGGCTGCTGAGGCTCATCCTTATTCATTCAGTTTGCCATCATTGTCCCCGTGAACATTATCATGCCTCCTGGTTATCATGGCCTTTAATGTCGGAGCTCAGCCTGATCATCATCATCATTGTCATCAAGCCCCATTGCTACTCCTATCCCTGTGTTGACATGCCTCCTTGTTTCTCCCCCCCACCCCTGTCAGTGGAAACACACCCATCGCCGTGTGGGGGACTCACCTGGACCTCATACAGAATCCCCAGATCCGTGCCAAGCATGGAGGGAAGGAGCACATCAATGTGAGTCCAGGGAGGGCAGGGGGCATGAGGCTGCCCACTCAACATGTCACTTTCCCAAAAGACATGGGGCGTCCTGAGTAGGGCCACCCAGACACAGATGACCCATTGCATGTGACACCCCGGGGCACTGGGATGGTGAGATGAGGAAGGAGACATGAGGGCATTTTCGTACTTTGGGGTACAGGCCTGGAGGGGCAATTGCTTTGGGGGGTTCTGGGGTTTCATACCCTTATTCCTCCATCTTTCAGACCCCCCAGTGCTGCCCCTTAGCTCAGAGATACCCCCGTCACTGCCACACCCCCTCTGGCCACTGCGGAGGTGGGTGCTAGCTGCGCAGTTTACTCCTTGAGTGGCCAGGTTCTGTGGTCCTGGATGCAGAGGGGCAGCGACCCATCCCTAACTGTCCCGTGTCAACCCCATGCTGTATCCCAGCATGGAGGGCGCCCTGCTGGGTGTGTGGGGCTGTGTAGGTCCAGACGCTGCATGGTCTTGCCTCTCTGGCCCCCTCCAGCTCTGTGAGGTTCTGAATGCTACTGAGATGACCTGCCAGGCTCCAGCCCTCGCTCTGGGGCCCGACCACCAGTCCGACCTGACCGAGAGGCCCGAGGAGTTTGGCTTCATCCTGGACAACGTCCAGTCCCTGCTAATCCTCAACAAGACCAACTTCACCTATTATCCCAACCCTGTATTCGAGGCCTTTGGGCCCTCAGGAATCCTGGAGCTCAAGCCCGGCACTCCCATCATCCTGAAGGTAGAGTGAGGTCGTAGGCAGGAGGCGGGAAGCAAGGAGGCTGCTGTGGGGAACGGGGAGGCTTGTCAAGTCACAGAGAGAGGCCCGAGTTCATCACTGGAGTCCAGAGCATGGAAAACACTGGCTCTGAGTTTGGATTGAGAGGCAAACTCTTTAAAGGCCATGGAGACCTGATCAGGGCAGCTGGATCCATCCTAGCCATCTGACTCCCAAGCTTCCTTTGTCCCCGGAGTCCAGGACCTGGAAGGTCCAAGGCTCATCCTGCTTCCTCCCGTGTGGCCCTCCGCAAGCCACAGTAGAGGGTTTCTTTGGAGCACGGGCGGCAGATTACTTGTAACTCCTGTGACAGTTTGGAGTCAACTGGTGGTGATTGACCATAGCTCTGTGTTAAGAAGGATTCTGAGGTGCATTTGGATAAGCTAGAGAGTGCCTTGATTACTGACTCCCCACTGAGGAAAGGGGAATGGCAGTGTAGGTGTCATGGGGTTTGGGGACTTACTATGGAAGGTGGCCTCTCCAGCACTCGCCAGCAGGATGGGACCTCTGGGTGGGGGGACGTGGCAGCCAGCCGGCAGCTATGGTCCTGACTCTGCGGTGCAAACCAGGGCTTTCCTGTCCCTCCAGGGCAAGAACCTGATCCCCCCCGTGGCCGGGGGCAATGTGAAGCTGAACTACACCGTGCTGGTGGGGGAGAAGCCATGCACTGTGACGGTGTCCGACGTGCAGCTGCTCTGCGAGTCCCCCAACCTCATCGGCAGGCACAAAGTGATGGTGAGCCAGCCGGGGCCCCATTCCGGACAGGGCAGGCACTAGGGATGCTAGAGCGTGAGCAGACCAGGAGGGGATTCTGGCTGGTGCCCCAGTGAGAGCAAGCAAAGCAACATGAATGATGTGTGCATCGCCTGTTACAGGCAAGAGACCCTTGCAGGAGGGGACCGTGGTTGGCCCGAGGAGGTCCATCAGATCATGCTCTGTGTCTCAGTCATCCATCCTTAGCCTGGGATGAAGCTCAGGGAGCCACTCACCGAAGTCATGTCCGACTTCTTTAGGTCCCAGCTGTGTGCTCTTTCCTTACGAAGATGACAACCCTAGTCCTGGGTACTGTGCAGCTTCCCGTCTCTGAGCCATCCAGACACCCTGCTCAGGCCCCACAACCCGCCTCAGCTGTCCTTACAGCCAGTGACGACTCTCCTCCCCGGAGCCCTTTCCCCGTCCTGCCCCGTGGCCAGTTCATCGACAGCCCGGGGAGGCTCCCCACACTGCTCTGCGCCCGCTCCCAACTCCCTCTCGCCTGCTGTGTCCCCAGGCCCGCGTCGGTGGCATGGAATACTCCCCGGGGATGGTGTACGTCGCCCCAGACAGCCCGCTCAGCCTGCCCGCCATCGTTAGCATCGCCGTGGCCGGCGGCCTCCTGGTCATCTTCATCGTCGCCGTCCTCATCGCCTACAAACGCAAGTCCCGCGAAAGTGACCTCACGCTGAAGCGGCTGCAGATGCAAATGGACAACCTGGAGTCACGAGTGGCGCTCGAGTGCAAAGAAGGTACTTGGTGACCCGGGACCACAGCCCCACGCCCGAGGCTCTGCGTGCGCGTCTCACATGGGCGAGCGGGCTGGGCACCTGCGGGCAGTGCTGGGGGCCGGGCGTCTGACCTCTGACTCTGGTCTCCGAGCTGCGTCCAGACCCAGCCCATATCCCAGCAGACGCAGCCCCTCCCTGGGCGAGGCCGCCCCCCCCCGCCCTCGAGGTGCCCCCCTTCCCTCTCTCCCCAGGTCAGCAGGGGTCCTTTCAACCCCCCAAGGGCAGTCTGCAGCCCCGAATCCTGGCCGCAGGGGTTTGATGCTCTCCACTCAGGGAGAGCTTAGCGGGTCTTGACATGCGGCGTTCAGCAACCTTGAGCTCCCTTCCTTAGGGAGGACAATACAGCCGTAGCTCTGATTTAAGATTTAGAAGGAAGAGGGTTTCACAGCTTATATTTTTAAAAATTACCAACACCACCATGATATGAAATCAGCAGCACTGAATCCAAGAAGGAAATTTAGGAGTCAGACTCTTGTCGCCCCAGGATATCATTTCGTGAGTCACCCTCGGAGGGTCTGAGTGGGTTCTTTGCTGTAGATTTATTCTCGGAGTCAATCCAGCCTGTACCTGGGGCCCTCCCATCCTCACCAGGGAAGCCGTGGCTCCGTCTGATGGGGAAGTGGGCCCGTCCCATCCCTTCACTACATCCTTAGCTGTCAACACGGCATCAGCCTTGTGGGACTGTTAATTACTGCCTTTTATTATATTTATGCTGCTTAATTTTTTTCTCCGCAATGTACTCTTCCCTCTAATTAGGTGTAGTGATTAGAATCTCTTTTATGTGTGGCAGGCACGAGGCTTTGAATGTTGGAGGCGCTTAGTGACTTGAAGGAAGGCTGCAGACCGATAAAAAGCCAACCCCCTCCTTCTCCTCCCCGCCAGCTGAGCACCCCAACCGGGAGGGGGCAGAGAGGGGAATGCCAAGCCAGGTTCCTCTCAGAACATTCTGGAGAAGGAGAGATGAGCAGCCAGACAAGGAGTACAGCCGTAGAGTGTCCACGGAGGCACCAGGAGAGGGCCTTGGCTTCTGGCTCGGGGGAGAGCTCTCCTGCACGAGTGGGCACAGAGAGAGATGTAAAGCAGAGCACACGGAGATTAGCCTTGAAGGCATTTGTCGGGGGAGCCCAGAGCTGGCCCTCGGACATATAAGGGGCAGCTTGGGTCCAGGGAAGGTGACGCCCCAGAGACTTGGCAGTAAGCCAGGCATCACCTACACACAAACCCGAAGAGGCCCAGCCTAGGCCCTTCACTGCCTAAACTTTACACACATGTGCATCACTGTCGCTTTGGGCGACAGTACAGGCCAAAAACCGTACCGACTCCTTTCATACACACGAGGGCGCACACGCTGGTGTAAGTTCCACTCGGAAGCGTGAGTCACTTGCCTTGAGAGGGACCCTGTGCGTCCGGGTGACCAGGGTGCAGGAACAGAGCAGCCCAGGGGAGGCCTGCAGGAGCCTGTCCAGGGGGCCAGGTGGTGTCTTGTTCTATCAAAGAAGCAGCACTGCTATTCTCCAGAAGGCCCAGAAACCCGAGATCCGGAGGCCCAAGTTGGCACTGTGGGGTGCAGCGGGGCCCCCGTCCACAGTGCCTGGGCCCACCATGTTGTGTTCGTGTGATCAGCAGAGCCCACAAAATACTTTTCCCCGATTCTGGTGTTTATAGAAATATTAAGAAGGATTGCATAATCAGTGCCCGCTGGCTGTTCTTTGCCAGCATGGGCTAATCCATCCTGGTTGGGTGCAAGCACGCGTGTGCAGCAGGCGTGCACGCGTGTCAGAACGTGTGTGCGCGCCCAGGGGAGAGGCAGAGCAGGAAAGGGCCTGGCGCGGCATTTCTGACTGCCTCCCAGGGCGGAGGGCAGCCTGGGAGGAGGGCTGTGCTCAGGACTGAGCGTGATCACAACTTCGGTGCCGTGTGCTGGACTTTCTTGGGGGCCAGAGGGAAGGGGGTCTTGCAGCTCCATGGTCATCGGGAAGCCTGAGCTGCCTCCACGGACAGCCATGCCCACATGCAGATCATAAATCACCACTGAGTGGCATCACCTTGAGGAAGGAAGGATAAAGATACGCCCCACAAATGTATCTGGAAGGAATATATTAGTGTGGCGGAGGCTTCATCTGGCCCCACTGGTGGTTTGATGGTTCCAGCTGCCTGGCCCAGAACTGGGACTGCAAAATAAATTATTCTTAACTTTTCAGAGGAAGACCACTCTAAAAATGCAGAATTGGGAATAGACCCCCCACCCCTGGAACCTCTCCCCTCCCTCCCCCGTCTCTTGATAGGGGTGTCCCCCCACCCCCAGCATATTCTGCAAACCAAAACCCTTCATCTTCAGACGGGGAGGCACTTCAGATCCCAGCAGCAGGACAAATCCAAGCAGCCATGCTTTGGAAGGGATCTGGCCCAAGACTCGCCTCCGTGTGCCACATCTTTCTCCCCTTCCTATGTCCTTCACCCCAGCCACTTAAGACATCCCGCGTTATTCCTGCACACCGGCGGTCCATTGCCCATGTCTCCCAGGGGCCTGGGTGAGGGTTCCGAGCATTCAGACTCAGGGTCTGCCCCAGCCGGCATTCTCATGGGCTTCCCTTTGTACCAGCTTTTGCCGAGCTGCAGACAGACATCCACGAGCTGACCAGTGACCTGGATGGAGCTGGGATCCCCTTCCTGGACTACAGAACCTACACCATGCGGGTGCTGTTCCCCGGGATTGAAGACCACCCGGTGCTGCGGGACCTCGAGGTGAGAAGCAGTACCCACGACCAAGCCTTGCTCCGTCAAGGTGTTAGCGTGGAGAAGGGTATCGGTGACCTTCAAGTGCAGCCACCTTGTTGGGAGGCGAGAAAGCTGAGGCCAGGGAGGGGACGTGATTGACCCGAGTCGCCCCCCACTTGTTGGTGCCAGCCAGCCGGTCCCTCTGCAGGAAATGGGGCCAAGCCAGGGAGGCTCTGAGCAGAGATGGGAGTAGATTTGGGTCCTAGAGGTCATGGATCCCTTGAGAACTGAATGGAAGTTGAAGGAAAAAAACTTTACCTACACGCAAAAACCAGACAGTGTCGTGAGCTCATGGCCCCCTGTTTAGGAAACCACGATATAAGGGATTTCACCAGATAGTTGGTGCCCAATAAGTATATGTGGGAAAGATAAGGGATGCACTGGGGAGGGAGGTGGGAGTGTGCATGATAAGAACATCGCTGTCTTTTGTACCAGCAGGACCTCATCTTTTGAACATTTTATCCCACTTACTGTCTAGCATGGTATCTGGCTTATGCATATACTCGTATTACGCTTTGTTCCAAAAGGGATTTGGGATGACTCATAAAGATAACTACCAGAGAAAAGTGAAAAATACAAATGAGGAAACCAGGGCAAAATAATTATCATAAGGAATAATCGCCATTAGTTGACGGCTCACTAATCTCCGGGTCTGGTTTTAAGGACTCCAGGTGTATGTGTTGATTTAATAGCTCAAAAGCGGGCTGCAGATGGTGCGCTCATTTTAGAGGCAACAAAGCTAAGGGCACTGGGGCCACCTGCTGGGACGGGGCGGGGCCAGGATTGGAGTCCCTCAGTTAGACTTCAGGGTCTGTGCTCCCCACGCCAAGACCTTGCACGTCGCTGTCATGCCTTACGGCTCTGGACACTTATTAGGATGGATCAAAAATCTCCAGCCAAAGCAACAACAGAGAATAAGACTAATTCCAAGATGGATAGCATCCATAACATTGCAACAGACCCATCGCTCAGCGGTCGCACAATTTTGCAGGTACTGACCCCTGTGGGAATGTCTGCGTAGGCAGTCCAAGGGGATGTGGAGGCCCCTCTACAGGCAGCAGAGCAAGGCCCCAGGGGCTTCGGGGCCCACATGCGTTTCTCCATAACTGTTGAATGCGGTGTGTGCGTGTGTGTATGTATGTGCACGCGTGCGTGCTTCCATAATGAGGTCAAGGGCACTTCTGTCCAGAGGAGGGTCCCCTGGGCTCCTCAGTGGATAGATACCCAGAGGCACTTCCAGAGGCCGTAGATGGCGGGCTCTGTGTCCTCACTGAGAACACACCTCTCCCTCTGTCTGCACATCTGCTTGTGTGTGTTCATGTCTAGGGTATACGCGTGTGTCCTTTATACAGATGAAAACACTGTCTGTATCATGATATTCTATCCATTCTCTTGGTCTCACTCTTCTTGCCCGTGCCCTCTCTCATTCCCATTTGTTTTTCTCTTCCATTTATCTTTTTTCCAGCCTCATTTTCACTTGCTTCAAAATCCCAGGGTGTTTAGTCCACTGAAGACTATGCATTTTCCACACGCACCTGCATCTCCGGAGATTCTCAGACCCGCAGGCCAGTCTTGGCACTAGTTTAACACACTCCCAAGGACAGCACACTCCCAAGGACTGGCCAGGGCAGTGGCAGGAGAGTTATAGGGCTCATTCTTCCACAGGATCGCATGGGCGGTTGTGCAGGTTGAACACTGCAGTGCTCCAGATGGCATCATTCACATGTGACACCTCTTGGAGTTGTTCAGTGCACAGCCTGCCTCACTGTCTACAGCAGCCCTGTTCCCCGAGGACCAGAATACAAACGATTCCTTCTCATTGCCCTTCTGAACTATACCAAGCCCCTTGCTGAAAGCTGGTGGAGTCTCTACCCAGCTGTACTTCTCCAGGCTTCCCTCTAGGGTCAGTTTCCTGTGAGAAGCAAGACGGGCTGCTTCCCAACTCCTAGCCCTATTCTTCAGTGAGGCACACAGCCAGGAACCCAGCTCAGCAAGCCAGACTCAACAAGCAGAAACCCCCCGCACCCTCACCCCTGCCCTCGGAGCCTTGCGTGGGGCCAGCTCCCTGCTCCACTGTGCGGCTCTGGTCCTGCCTGCCTAGCTCCCTGACACGAAGCACCCCCAAACAGCGGCTTCTGGGTCAGCACACTCCACTCTCTGCCAGAAAACTGCAAGGGCTCTGGTTCAGCACCGTCTTAGAGACTAATTTCTGAACTTCACGGTGACGCCAGCTACCCCATGGGCTGAACACCCAGGAGGGCACCCCCAGAGCCGCACCACCAGGAGTCACTGACTCCCCTCGCCCATCTGTCTGGCACAGTGTCAGATGAACCCAGCCCCGGGAAGGCCGCAGAAGAAGGCCTCTGCGAACCAGGGCTGCTGGGTTGCAATCACGCGAGCAGCCTGGATGACTGGCTTGCGCGTCGTTCAGTGCACAACCGCGGACTGTGGGTAGATACCCCGCCCCTGCCCCAGACCGTCCCTTTGGCCCCCGTTACGTAGTACATCACGCCCTACGGTGGCCTTATTCCTCATCTGGCGTGTTAACGTTTCCCCTCGCACCCGAGGCTTCTCTCTTCTTCCTTGCCTTCATCACGAGGGGAGACTTAGTTCCCTGCTCATGACGGAGTCCGAAGCTGCCTTTGCACACTTCCCTGAGCTGGAGCCCACAGGATGGCCAGGCTCCGAGTCCAACAGGTCACACAGCTTTTCTTGTTTCGAATTGTGGTAAAACACGCATCACAGAAAATGGACCGTTTCCACGATTTTTTACACGTGCAGCTCAGAGTCAGTAAGTACATTCACGCTGTGGGGTGACCATCACCTCCATCCGTCTCCGGAAGGTTTTCATCTTCCCCCAGTGAAACCCTGTCCCCGTTAAACACTAACCCCCCATCCCCTCCTCCAGAAACCACCATTTCACTTTCTGTCTCTATGAATTTGACGACTCAGGGACCCTCATGTCAGTGGAATCATATAATATTTATCCTTTTGGGACTGACTTACTTCACTTAACAAAGTGTTCTCAAGGTTCACCCATATTGTAGCATGTGACAGAATCTCCTTTCTTTTCAAGCCTGAGTGATAGTCCGTTGTATGGATGCACCGCGTTTCGTTTATCTATTCACCTGTCAGTGGACGCTGGGCTGCTCTGGGCTACTGTGGATGCAGCTGCTAAGAACATGGGTGTACGTGTATCTGTTTGAGCTCCTGCTCCCAGTCTTGTGGGTATATACCCAGAACATACGACTTTTCCTTTCCATGAAACTCGCTAATTAATTAATAGAAATCCACTTTTACTATTGCACATTAGCCCGGGGCTATGTGAGATCCAGCATCCCATGCAAGATACAGGGATCTTGCCTGGACTGTTCTTTTCTGATTTGTTTCCAACCCTGTCTTACCACTGGAATAGTTTCTCCCCATTGGCTTTCTGAGTATGGAAATATTCCCAGGAAAGGCACTGACTAATCTAAAGCAATGTTTCCCGACATTTTCAGCCATGCGGCTAGCTGCCCACTGGTTGGGTATGAACAGCAGATGTGTGAGAAGAAGGAGGTGTTCTCTGGCTTTAGTCTGCCCTGGACATAGGCCACCAGTCCCCCCTCTTTTGTGACCATCTGGTGAAGGCCGGGCATGTGGGAAAGGGGCTATCTAGGCACTGGGCACACACCGATCCTTTATTATTTTTTTTTTTTAAGATTTTATTTATTTACTTGAGAGAAAGTGGGAGCGAGAGAGAGAACACAAGCCAGGGGCACCGATCCTTTAAAAACAGGGAGCAAACAGTAACCACACACCCCATTCTCAACCTATCCGTGTCTCCTAAACTCTAACCTGTTGGGTTACAATTAAAATTTACTATCCAGTTTTATACTCACAGGCTTCAACTAAGTTGTCGAACCAACTGGTGAATAAAGACAGTCTTGTTTCAGAGTGGCATTTGCTTAGGGAGGCAGGGGGTAGCCAGTTACAAAGGGGCATTGTTCCGGATACTCTTTACCAAGATACTCCACTTCCATCTCCCCCTTCATATAATGGGGAGAAAAGTCCTACCTCCGGCATCCCCAGACACTGGGCCAGTGTAGCCATTGTCTTGGAAACTCCTGGGCACGAGGGGTCGGTTAAAAGCCGCCAGCAGAGTAGAGGCAGGTAATAAAACTGCTGTTAAGGGCGCACCGTGTGTCCCGAGCACTTTACATACATTATCTTATTTAATACTCGTAAAACATTATGACGAGAGCACTCATACTCTCATTTTACAGACAAGGTAGTCGAGCCCAGACGTGACAGAGCTTTCCTCCATGTAGGAGGCAGTTAGTCTCTCTGATTGCGAACCCTGGGCTGCTGGCCTGCATGCCGTGGCCCCGTAGCTGGCTTTGCTGCACCTTCCTTCCCAGGGCCCCAGGCCTTGGTGCCCAGAAGGCGTGCGCAGCCAAGCCACGAAGTTCAGAGCACGTCCTCTTACCAGACGTGCCACCTGGCCAGCCCTCTGTCCTCCTCTCCTCTCCAGGGGCCCCAGTGCCAAACCCGGCCATGGCTCCTCTGCCCTGGATGGCCAGCCTGAGCTGCCAGGCTCTCAGTCACCTCCCAGGCCCTGGGGTAGAACTAGATGTGGCAAAGGATGGGGAGGTTGGATAGGGACTCGGGAGCCAAACATGGGCTTGGAAATCCAGCACCTTCCTGTACCAGCTGGCTGGCCTTGGCTCCTACAGTAGCTTCTGTGAGGGGCAGTTCAGAGGGCACAGTCACTCTTGCAACGTCCTCAGCAGGCTTCGATGGAGTGACAAGTACAGTGTGCAGCACCGTGCACTGCTCATGGCGGGTGCCGAAGAAGTAGTGATATCTATCATCAGTAGGACAAGTTGTGGAGACGTTGCTCTGGGGGGACTGAAGGACAGAGGAAGTAAACTGTGCACACATGTGTCAGGGGTGGTCCCAGAGCTGGGAGGGAGGTCAGCGGGACACACAGTCTACCCAGACGGCTGGGTAGACTGAGGCCGGCTGACAGCAAGGTGAGGTTGCCTCCTACCCTTGTCCTTCCCTTGCCGGCCCCTATGGAGTGGGGAATGGGGTGGGTGGTAGGCAGGATGAAGCTGAGATTGGGCCCACCACAGGGAAGGAGGAGTTTGCCAGGGGTGGCCATGCAGAGAGCCGGAACATGCTGCCGGAACATGAGCCAGGCCCTGGCTCCGGTGGGTTCCCATCTCTCTCCAGGGTGCTGCCTTCTGACAGGGCCTTCCGGAGGGGCCTGCTGCTGACCTTCCGAGGGCAGGCCCGGGTCTGACTGGTCTGTCTCCCGCCTGGGCCTTGCCCTGAGCCTGGAACACAGGGGAGCTCAATGCGTGAGCGGAACGAACGTTCCAGCTCTGCATCTGCCCCCTCCTTGGACCTGGGGCAAACAGGGATTCTCTGGCCACCCATCCCCCCCAGTTTCAAGCTCCTGGAGTCAAGTGGGATGAAACTGCTGCCATTCAGTAAATACGACTGTGTGTCCGGCTTTTGACACACCGTCTCCTTCAGAGCTCACACCAGCCCCGAGATGGCAGGCCGTGGCACCGACCGCCCGGGTGCACGGCCTGGCCCTGACACGTCTCTGTCTTGGGATCTTGGGAAAGCCCCCCACTGTCATGAGGCCCTGGGATAATACTGGGACCTACCTCGTAGGGGGTCGTGTGGCATAAATGGGTCCATAGTTCTAACGCATGTAGACAGCGCTCAGCAGAGGACGATCGACATACGCACCAGCTGTTGAAGGAAAGGCGGAGTCTTCTCAGGGCCCCCGAACCAGTATATGACTGTGACAGTTAACCCAAGCTCCGCTGGCTCAAACTGCATTCTGCACTGCCGCATCCATGCTGCTCCTTCCCGAAGACCCCCGCAGGGGAGACACAGCCCCCGCCATGGCACCTCCTTTGGAGGCCCCTGCCCCCCCCAGCACCCCACTCCACAGAGGGTGCCCTGCTCTGTTCTCAGACGGCTTCACCTTGATGCCAGAGGCTGTGTTTATTTGTTAAGCAACCTTTTTGTTTTATGGAAGAATGCATACAGAGCAAGCAACGCACACATTGGCAGAACACAGCTCAGAGCATTTTCCCTGAGTGAACCCAGCCATCCAGCCAGCACACACAGCAGGAAGCTGAATGCTACCAGCCCTCCACAAAAGTCCCCGAGTGTCCCCTTCCAGTCCCAGCCACCCCCCGGAATCACCATTTTCCTGCCATCGTCGATGGTTTTTTAAAATCTTTATTTAAAGGGTATTACACGAATGGCCCTCTCCCTTCTGATTTGTTTCATTCAATGTCTGCAAGATGCATCCCTGCCACTGTGAGTGGCAGAAAGCCCTTCGTTCCCGTGGCCGTGTGGCTTCCTGCTGGGTGAATATGCCGCAGTTCCCGGGGCCATCCGCTGTGGCCGGGCATCTGGCTGTTTCCAGTCTGGGGAAAGAGCTGCTGTGTCCCCGCGCATCTCAGAGATGCGTCCTCCATGCCGAGCTCGGTCGCTGGCTAGTGCGTGCTGAGCGGACGGTGCCCTCATGCAGGTGCCTCCCGATGAACAGGAGATGCGGGCAGGAAGATAAAACCTTCTTCCTCCCCTTCCCCTGGGTCTCAGAGGAGTCTCTGGGAAAACATCAGACACCAGAGTCAATCAGGGAGCACCCGAGAGACTGGTGGGCTTAATCTGCCCCTTTCCTTGGGTGAGTCACTTTGGGCCCCCAGAGAAGTTAATGGGCTTGCCTGAGGTCACACAGGTTGGGGGTGACAGAGCCTGCGTGGACCCCATGAGTCCTGACTCTGAGGCCACACTGGTCTGTTAATGGGATCCACGTGGCCAGAGAAGAGTCCGCATCAGGTCAGCTGGAGGCTCAGGTGTGGTGATCCCTCACCCACCTGGGTCACTGGCCCCAGCCCCCAGCCTCCTGGACACCCCCCGGGGGGCTGCCTGTGATGCTCATCTGCCACGGTGCGGGGCCCCTCACCAGCTCTGTGTCACCGTCAGGGAAGAGCTCAGGCTCCCACGTGGATGGGGATCCCCGGTGCCGTTCTCTCTGCGCCTCCCCTGATTCAGCTCCAAACCAGAGGCAGGGAGCCGCCGCGGGGGTTAAGTAGACAGCACGGTGCCCAGGACCCGATGAGGGCTTGGTGCTGTTGGCCAGGTGGGGTGAGTGGCGGCGGGGCCTGGGGCGGCGCGCACGGCCCACCCCGTGGGGCAGACCCCGGGCCCGGCTGGCAGTCAGGACTCCCCCCGCTCACCCCCCGCCCCGGGGGCTCCTCCACAGGTTCCGGGCTACCGGCAGGAGCGCGTGGAGAAGGGCCTGAAGCTCTTTGCCCAGCTCATCAACAACAAGGTGTTCCTGCTGTCCTTCATCCGCACCCTGGAGTCTCAACGCAGCTTCTCCATGCGCGACCGCGGCAACGTGGCCTCGCTCATCATGACCGTGCTGCAGAGCAAGCTGGAATACGCCACGGACGTGCTGAAGCAGCTGCTGGCCGACCTCATCGACAAGAACCTGGAGAGCAAGAACCACCCCAAGCTGCTGCTCAGGAGGTGAGGGCCGGGCCCGGGGGGCGGGGGGCGGGGAGCGCAGGTCAGAGAGAGAGCCCATTCGGCCTGGATCTTGTGCCTTCTGGGGAGACGGGGGCAGAGCTCCTGGAAGTTGCTGTCAAGTCCCCCAAGGTGGGGACTGACCTGCCTGGAGGCCAGGGCCCGCCCCATGCCCTCTTGTCCGCCACAGCCCATCGGCTTACCCTGCTGTTTCTCTTTGGCCCCCTACATGCACTCTGCCTTCTCCTCTCTCTATCCTTATGCTCCCTGATCATGACCCCTCCGACTGGAATTCTTCTCTCTTGGACTCTTCAGAGGTCATTTTTCCAGCCCCTGCCCCTACCTAAACCAGAACATGAATTAGGAGAGATACCCCAGGGCCTCCTGCCTGGGGACCCGCCTCAGCATCTCAAGATGGGAAACTTGAGTTCCAGGCAGCTCTCCCTGCTGTCTGGGACCAGCAGGGAAGCATCACCCGGGAACTTGCAGGTAATGCGGAATCTCCGGTCCCAGCCCACACCCACTGGGGCGGAATCTGCAGGCTCCCAAGACACCTCGGTGACCCGAAAGTTCTGTTGAAGTGTGAGAAGCCCTGGGCCAGCCTGTGTGTCCTTGCCTGACGCACCTGCTGGAGGCTCCATGCGGGTCCAGGGCGCTCCGCCCCACCCCGTCGGATGCCTCACTGGGGAGACCCAAATGACCACATGTGACCACCAAGCCATATCCCGTGGCTTCGGCTTTATAGGACACAGAGACTCCCTGACTCCCTCCATGCTGCCCTTCACATCTGCCTCCTCCCGGAAGGCCATTTCTCATCCAGGCCGTTAGTGCACTGTCTTTAGCCTTCGTGCGGACAAAGCTGGAAAGCTCGCACGTCCGGCCATCACTCCCCGGCACCGTCTGCCTCTGCCTCTCTTCTGCCTTCTGTCCTCGGTGTCTGGGTCCGAGGCGGGGCCTCCTGCTTGGGCCAGTGGCTAGATTTGGCTTTCAGAAGTGTTTACCTCCGGCTCTTCCCCGGTGCACTGGGCATCTGCCCGCACAGCTGTGAAAGGCTGCTACATGCCGGAGCAATCATCCAGCTTTGGAAACAGCAAGGTAGATCATTTTGATTTTTGTTTTACTTCCACCACGCAGCCACCCACCGGCATAATTCTAGGGTTGCCACTGCCTGCCAGAGCTCCCACCAACAATTTCCCGGTGTGGCCTCGCTCTGGATCTGTGCGTCTACACCTCTTGTTTTCCACCCGCTCGCTCCCAGGTGCTCTCTCTCCTTCTGCCCTCCTCCATCTCCCTTTCTTCCTCTTGCCCCCGGCTGGCCCCCTCACTTCGACAGTCTTCCTTCTCGTCTCCTCCTAGTTTGCTTCGGAGCTGGCAACTGCCCAGCTGCCGTGGGATTGTAGCTATTTGTGTCTCCCGCCAACTGCAACTTCCGAGTCTATCCAAACATACCTGGATGGGCCGGTTGCTCTCCGGAGCTGGCCCCACGCTCAGCGCAAGTTTGAGGCCCGTTTGTTTTCTCTACGTGGATGCAACCCAAAGGGTCTTCTGGCCCTACCCCTGCTGCTGTGGCTTCCCTTCCAAGGTAAAAGGATAAGTGGACTTGGGTAGCAGCACAAAGGATGCAAGTTAGACTCAAGAAGGCACTTCCTATCATTGCAAATGACACGCTAACAGCGTTCCAGGAGGAGTTCCAAAGGACTTTGAAATAGGATAATTTGGGCATCGCTTAGGATGAGCTAGGTATGCAGCTTTAGTCCGTGTCAGCTCTGGGAGTCTTTCGCTCTAGGTGAGGGGATCAGTCTAATCTATCTGGCCTTTGTCGCCTGACCCACTTCTCCTGCCACCTTCCTTTCTAGCCACTGCCCAATTAATATCTCCCGAGGTTTTTCGGTCTTCTTTTTTCACCCACCCACAGGAACTAGAAAGTTCTCTAAAGCTGTCCCATCCAATGTGGTAACTGCCAGCTACACGTGCCCATTCAAATGCAAATAGTGAAAGGTGAAGAAAATGTAAAATTCAGCTTCTCAGACACACTAGCCACATTTCGAGCGCTCCGTGGGGACCTATGGCTGGTGGCTACCCCACTGGACAGCGCAGAGGGTCTTCATCATCACTGCAGAGGGTGCCGAGGGACAGAACTGCTCCTGCACATTCCCACCGAACACCCACCCGGGAGCCTGACAGCAGCATGTCATCTCCCGGCTTCTGCAGGCACAGCTTGTCTCGTCACTCTGCGGTGTCTAGGAGTCCGTGGGATTCAAGTATTCTTTAGGATCTCAGGATTTGGCCCGAAAGCCGTAAGCAGCGAGATCAATGCAGGGTCATTCCCCCTGCGCTCTGACCGGCTTCTGTCTTTATCTTGCTGTAACAGGACTGAGTCGGTGGCCGAGAAGATGCTGACCAACTGGTTCACCTTCCTGCTCTACAAGTTCCTCAAGGTACGATTGGATTTGGGCTATCTCTGGCGCTGTCTGTTACCCACCCCCCAGCTTCCCTGCACACCACAAAGCCCACATGCCCCAGGCCTGAGTCTTAGAACCCCAGCAAGAAATGCTGTCCCCCTCGTCACTGTCACTGTCACCGAAGGGGCAGACTCCTGACTGTCTCAGGAGACAGAGCCCACACCCGCCCCCACCACCCCGTCAGTCCTGGCATGAGAGATAATCCCCTGTCCTACAGGCCACGGGAGAAGAGCCCATGAGAGGACCCCGTGTGAACCCTAAAGCCAAAGTCCCTATGTAAGCTCAAAACAATTCACCCCTTAGTTCCCTGCTTTCCCTCTTCCTCCCCCCTCCCCCACCTCTCCCAGTCCCAGACTCCCCGAGGCTGATAGGGTCCCAGGCAGGTACCACGGCCCCGTGTGGCAGCAGATAAGCCACCCATGTGCCTGGGCAGGGAAGAGCTACCCGACTTCCAATTATGAGCTTGCTTTCTGAGGACTTTGCAGCCCCGGGACTGACCTCTGTCTCTGACAGGCCGCAGAGGAAGCGGCTGGAGTGGGGTGGGGAGAAGAAACAGAGAGGGGGCAGGAGGTGGGGAGGTGAAGAGGAGAGGGCAGACAGGAGAAGACAGGTGGTCCAGAGGAAGGGGGAGTTGACAACAGAGGAGGAGCAGGAGCAGGAGAGAACTGGAGCAGAGGAGTGGAAAGCAGCCCTTCGAGAAACAGGCTCCGGGAAGTTGGTCCAGAGTCCGCCCAGCACGGTTCTTCTCTGCGTCCAGGAGTGTGCTGGGGAGCCCCTGTTCTCGCTCTTCTGTGCCATCAAGCAGCAGATGGAGAAGGGCCCCATCGACGCCATCACAGGAGAGGCCCGCTACTCTCTGAGCGAGGACAAGCTCATCCGCCAGCAGATCGACTACAAAACCCTGGTAAAGCAGCCTCACGGTTTTGCCCCTGCCCCTGGTAACGGGGCTGTGGTCCCGTGCAGCCCCTGCCCAGCAGAGGGGACGGTGGAAACGCTGAAAAGCCACCTGGCCTGGGTTGGCCCACCCAGGCCTGTCACCCCAGACTCCCCTAGGGCCCCCACACCAGGGCACCTGGATTTGGGGACCGGTAGCTCAGGCACGTCTGAGCAACACTTCAGCAGAGGCTAGTGTGGTTCTAAGCCAGTGCGCTGAACGTGGGGTCCTAAGCCCTCACCAGCAGCGGGCGGGCGGATTGCGCTCGGTGAACTCCTCATCAGCTCTGCCCGGGTGGGGAGGGACACTTCCATGCAGAGCAGGTGGGGGCCCGAAGGAGAGGAAACCAGAAAGAGTTCCTTGTGTTTCAGAAGCCCGCCTCTGCCCACGGGTCTAAGGCCAAATACCCCCATTACCTGAGAATGTGAGGCCGGACTGGCCCAGTGATTAACGCCTTTGTCCAGGGGACATGGGGATTCCCTCTGTCAAGGTTGGACCCCCTCTCTGATAGCGGCTCCCTAGGAGGCAGCCGAGCTCCGCACGGAGGAGCATGAGGTCTGGATTGGAGCCCTGACTTGGCTTCTGAGCAGCTGGGTGATTTGGGGCAGGTCCCTCAAATCTCTCCGAGCTGGGGTGTCTTTATCTGAAAAAACGGAGGAGAACACTAGAACTTATTTACACAGGGATAAATAATAGTGCATGCCTCCCAGAGTTGTCTGGAGGATGGACTGGGGCAAGGCGTGCGAGGCAGGGAGCACAGAGTAAGTGCCCAGTGCTGCTCACGGAGGCCCTGCCACCACTTTCCCGTGCCTGTCTGCCTCTCTGCTGGCTGTCACTGTCCTTCCAGGCCAGGGCGCTCACCCTCACTTTTGGCCCTTTTGGACGGATGTGTGATTTCCCACCAGGCCTCCGCTAGGAAAGGGGAGAGGATGTGAAAGAAGGAGGTAGAAAATAAGATAGCAGGTGTTTGGGGTGAAGCATGGGTGGAGACAGAGATGGGGATGTGTGTGGAGAGAAAATAGATGGGATTTAAATGCATTTATGGGGAGGGGCGCCTGGGCAGCTCAGTCAGTTAAGCATCCAATTCTTGATTGCGACTCAGGTCAGGACCTCAGGGTCGTGAGATGGAGCCCCATGTTGGGCTCCACACTGGGCGTGGAGCCTGCTTAAGATTCTTTCTCTCTCTCTCTGCCCCTCCCCCCTCCCTCTCTAAAAAAATAAAATAAAATAAATGTGCTTATGGGGAGATGAGACCCACACAGGCAGGGCCAGGACAGGGCAGAGCGGGGCTGAGCCGGGCAGGAACAGTGAGCCCAGGGTAATCCCAGACCCCAAGGAGAGCAGGGAGACGGTCCCTCCTGGCTGGGAATGATGGGGCGTGAGGCACCTTTCCCCCTCCGTCTTCAGCAGGCTGGGGGGTCCCAGTGGGCTCCCCTGAGGAGGCTTCAGAGGAGCTGCTGTGACTGGGGACCTTGCTTCCTTACAGTCACGTTCTGCTCCGGAGGAGACAGTTAGAGGCTCTGATTAAAATGAGAAAGGGTGGGGGTGGGGGTGGGGTGAGGAATCTTCCCAAAATAGAGACCGGAATAGATTTTTAATGAGCTAGAAGTACCACTGAAAGTCTCGTGCCTGGTCTCCCCCCACCCCTTCCTTTCCCATCCCATCCCCGTTCCTCAGGACCGAATCCAGCGCAGTGAGCTGAGATGAGGCGCTGTCCCCAGATGGGCAGCAGCCTTGACTCCAGAGGCCAGGCTGCTTTCAGATGATGGGACTTAGGGTCCCTGTAAGGAACGTGGGGTGGGTCGGGAGAGCACAGCCATCAGGTGGATAGCCTGGGGAAAGAGACATCTCGAGGAGAGGAGGAGGAAATTGCGATTGTTTTGCCCAGGGAAGAAAGGGCTGCAGGGAGATGTAAGGCCACCTCAGGCCTGAGAAAAGGACCTCAACAGGCAGAAGGTGAGCAGCCCCTGGCTGGTGAGGGAAAGAAAGAAAGGGAAGCTAGAGGAGCCCTGGACAGTGTGGGCCAACCGATGCTGTCGTTGTCCTGGGCCGGAGGGATACCCGAACGGAGAAAGGTGCTGAGAGGCTCAGGGCCGCATCACTTCATAGCTAGGAGCCCTTCAGTTGCGTGATTAATTGGCTTGACACTAGAACTTGAGCCCCCCTGTTCTAGGGCCCTGCTGCTGGGAGCGCCTACTGGCATCACCCAGGAGCCTGTTAGGGGGTGCTCCCCCGGGAGCCTGTGAGGTGCTGGGTGCTCGAAGCAAACAAAAACCCCTGAGTGATTCTATTCACATTAAAACTTGAGAAGCACTGAGCTAGCAGAAAAAAACAAAAAAGACAAAACAAACACCAGGCAGTTTGCTCAGAAACTAACCACGGGGCACAGGAATGGGAGTGGGGAAGGGACGTTCTGGGTGGAGCTGTGGTTTGGCCAGTGGCCAGGAAACCCTGTCCCTCAGAATGGCTACCGGCTACCGCTTCTTCTCCGAATGCCCTGAAGCATCCCGTGGGTTCTGCTAGGGCCACCATGAACCCCTGAGGCAAGTAGAAATGTCAGAAGGGCATACTCAGGGGGCAGCCTCTGCCTCAGGGTCCCTCAGGGGAGGATGCCCAGATAAGGCTGCGTTGCTGCTTGGGGGAGGCTGAGCCCAGGGCAGCACAAAGTGACAGGCTGTGCTTGGCCATGGGGGGGGCAGCAAGGGTCCCAGAAAGCTTTAGAAGGATCGGCTGAGAGAGGGCACTCAGAAGGGACCCACGGTCCAGAGTTCCTCCCACCATTGTTTTCAGTTTAGGACATTTTGAGGGTGAGAGTTTGGTTTTGTAGATTTAGGAGGTTTTTTCCTGCTTAATGGAAGAAGCATGTTCCCATGTGAGCTCGAAGCAGTCTGGCTGCTAATGAAAGGCAGGCGTCCAGGGGCCAGGGTTCTGATTGCCACCACGTGGAGCGGGGGTGGGGGAAGGAAACTGTCGTCTGAGTCTGCAGGCCTGCAGTCGGAGGTGGGGGCGTGCAGCGAGAGATCAGGCAGGGATGAGGTGGTGGTGCAGTGAGAGACCAGGGAGGGAGGTGGTGGGGGTGCAGCGAGAGATCAGCCAGGGAGGTGGGGGGGTGCAGCGAGAGACCAGGGAGGGATGGGGTGGGGGTGCAGGGAAAGATCAGGCAGGGAGGTGGGGGATGCAGCGAGAGATCAGAGGGATGGGGTGGGGTGCAGCAAGAGATCGGAGGGTACGGTGAGAGATCAGGGAGGGAGGTGGGGGGTGCAGTGAGAGATCAGGGAGGAAGGCACGTGGAGGGCTTAGGTGGCAGGAGCAGAGGGAGGGTGTGGGAGCCGGCGTGCCCTACTGTGGTCCCCCCAGCATCCCACACAGTCCCACCCATGTAGACAGAGCCCTCTCTGAGAACAGCAAGGGAAGAGAAGCCTTGGGAAATAGCCCAGAACTTTTTCAAGGAAAAAAATATCGCTTGGTGCTTTAAGCAGAGCCTTCATTTTTCTGACTAGTTCCAAAAAGAGACACCGAGGCCCTGAGCCAGGGTGGCCTCTTCTCCGAACACGAGGTTGTGGGTTCAGCGCCAGGAAGGCCTCTCCAGTGGCCTGAACCTACATCTTTTTATTTTTCAAGAGCACATTAAGCTTCTTACAGATTCTCCAACCTCCAATCGGCCCCAAACCCTCACAAAAATCGAAGCTTATGAAATCTCTTGAGCAAGAAGCCAGATTCACATTTGTGTGTGTGCGTGCATGCGTGCATGTATGTGTGTGTGAGAGAGAGAGAGAGAGAGAGAGAGAGGGAGTGACAGGAAGGAGGTACCGACACACGTGGAAGGTGGGGGTTCAGAGGTAGGCAGGGGTCTGGGTGTGTTGCTGAGAAGGTGCCGTGTGTGTGGCGTGCGTGTGAGAGAGCGTGCGTACATGCAGTGGTGTCCAGAATGCGCCTGGGACTCAGCATTCCTGCCACCCTCCCCCACACGCCTCCGTTCCCCCTTCCTCCAGGTCCTGAGCTGTGTCAACCCAGACAGTGCCAACAGCCCCGAGGTCCCAGTGAAGATCCTCAACTGCGACACCATTACTCAGGTCAAGGAGAAGATTCTGGATGCCATCTTTAAGAATGTGCCCTGCTCCCACCGGCCCAAGGCTGCAGATATGGACCTGGGTGAGTAGGCTGCCCAGCCAGGGGCTGCCCCGGGACTGGTCAGAAGCACCTTCTACGGACCAGTGGAGCCAGGGGGCAGGGAAGCCTGCCTCCATGGCTGTTAGTGAGCGCTAGGCAGAGAGGGGACTCCGTCGGCTGGCCGCACCACCACCTCGGGGGGCTTTGGAGTAGCCAGGGGGTGTCCTCTCTGCGTGAAGGGGATTCAGGCTGAGTCTGTGTGGTCCAAGGTCCCGCCACCACCATTGTTAGCCCCCGAGCTCTTCCCTTCCCCTCTGTTCTGTGCGTGTCATTTTTGCTGACAACCTAAGGCAGGAGGGATCTGGGTCAGTGATGGAGGATGGAGAGAAAGAAGAGAGAAAAATGAGAGAGGACAGCCTGCTGGGGAGCAGGATGACATTTTATTCGAATGTTCCATGAATAGATCACATAGCCTGTATAAACAAGGGCACGCCACTTAGGGCCAGCTGTACTTAGATCCGGTTAAGGTTGGCCTGAGTGTTTAATGAGACACTGTCCTGGGGAAATCCTAGTGGGGAGCTCCGAGCTCCAAAGGGGCCAGGCTGAAGAGAGGCCGTGTGGCATTGTGGCTCGGCGTCACACCTGGATTTGAGTCCTGACACTGTGAAGTCCCAGCTGTGTGACCTTGGTCCAGTTACTTACCTTCTCTGTGCCTTAGTGTCTTTACCTCGATGACAGAGATAATAGTAGTGTGGACCTCATTGTGAGAAAGAAACAAGATGAGGCGTGTAAAAGCCTCTCGACGCACTGCCTGGCCCCTAGCACCCACTCACTTAGCTTTGGCCACTGTCACTACTGCTTGGAGAAGAACGCTGGTAAGGAGACGGCATGTGTCTGTTTGTTGATCCGGGCGCAGAGAGAAAGCGTTGATGTGTATATGCTTGTGTCTGGAGATTTGTGGCAACGGAGGGGTGGGAGGACCTCCAGGGGCCCCTAATCCATCCATCGGGCCTCTAAGCTGCCTTCAGCTAAGCCATCCAAGACAGATGAGCATCTACCCTATTTTTAACATCCAAAGGGAATCTTCATCCCCTCCTGCTGCGCCGCCCACTTCCCCCCAGATTCTGATGCCTGAAGACTCAGGATCGGGAAGTTCTGCTAACCCACCTCAACTCTTCCTGCTCCCTTTAACCGCCCCGCCTCTTGCTCGGCCCCTGGCGGCCCCTCACGCCCAGGGCTCTGACGCCCGGGGAGAGAGACTGGGCGAGCGCATGCTCTCCTTCCCCTGGGAGGTGGCCCTGCGTGTGCTGCGTCTGGGACAAGGAGGAGACCTGTGTGAGAGTCAGGGGAGGGGTCGGGGGGAGAGTGCGTCCACCTGCGCATCCCAGAGCACCGGGCACTCGGGTCGGAGGGAACGCTCGTGTCTGCATGTGGGTGATCTGCTGCCAGGAAGATCCCACAGACCGACGTGGGGAAGCCTCCTGTTGCAGAACCAGTGCGAGGGGACAGGGCTACCAGGAAGGAAGACTCCTGCGTTCCCCACCCCCAAACAACTAAGCGGGTTGTTCCATAACGGGCTTCCCCGGGAAAGCTGAGCTCATGGGGGGTAGCCGGGTAGCTCCCCAGTCCCTCTGTCTGTGTGTGAGAGTCACATCAGTGTGCACCCTCGGCTTCTCAGCATCCTTCTCTGCACAGTGGGCAGGGGGATAACCTGGCATAGCGGGGCCAAGAGGAAAAACCTTCGTGGGGAAGGTGGGTTTGGAAAGATGGTGCTAGAACACAGGAAGAGCTCCTGTGTGCAGGTGCATATCGGACCATTGCTTCTCTTGCTCGGGAATGGGGTGACTCCCCAGGAGGGAGAGCGGCAGGTGGCCTCGTCAGCCTCCACCTGAAGCATGGAGATGGAGTTTTTGCACCAGAATGCCTTCTCTTCCTTACCAGAAAAGGGCAGATGGTGGTGAAGAACACTCCAGCCTGTGGTGGTCTCAACTCTTCCTGGATCTTAGATAGGGCGGGAGCCAACGTTCTTCCGTGTCCTCTCAACCCCAAGCTAAGGGGGCGCCCTCTGGAAGCGCGTTCAGGGACCACACCTGCTTGATTTCCTGGAGGGAGACTTCGTGGCCCGTACCTGCTGCTCAGGATTGCCCTCCCCGCCTGGGATCTGCACACCCTGAGCTTGGGAGGGGAAGGGGCTGCTTCTTAGCTTTAGAAAATTGCTCCCTTTAAGGTCTAGGGGTGCAAGCCCACCCAGCAGATGGTGAATGAAAAGATGGAAGGCACCCCACGGCCATAGCGGTGAATCATTCGCAGCGGAAGGGGCAGCCTCAGAGCAGCGGGGGTACTCCCTGCCTTCCCCCAAGGGAAGGAGCCCGAGCGGGGCTGCACGCTCTCGAGCTCCAGGCTGCTCCAGCCAGGGAGAGGCCGCCTGCCTCCCAGCAGGGGCTGCGTGTCCCGTGATGCACTGCTCACCACGGCTGCCAGCATCTCAGCTCCCCCGAGACCACAGGGGCACCTGTCCCAGAGGAGGACCCAGGGACTACCCTGGAGGGACGAGGCCTCCGACAGCAGGGACAGATGAGGGGGGGAACCAAAGACGCAGTCAGGGCCTCAGGGCCCCATCCTACTGGGGAAGGAGTGCTGTGCTGAACTCGTCATAAAGGCCTCCCGTGGTGGATGCTCTTCTGAGGAATGTCCTCTTTTCTATTAGATCCAGAGCTTGGAGCTGCTCCCCAATCTCTGGCCTTCTTTCTACCAAAGCCAGATTGCATAACAAGGAAACGGGGCCTCCTCTGAGACCCAAATGCTGTTTCCACATGGTTGAACTCAGCCTCGTGGCCCCCAGGGGGAGAAAGAAGCAAGGCAAGTTTTTCCCATCATGTAGGCGATAGTGCTTTAAAAGCCTAAAAGCAGTTTACAAATGTAAGGTGTGATTATTATCAAAAATTAATCTATGCCGAAGGGACAGAACATGAAGCACATAGGCCTGGAAAGGACTCAGCCACATGCCTTGGACAGGGGCAAGAGAGCCAGGCAGCCTCCTTCCGTTCCCCCTTCCCCTAGCTGAGGGCATTGGGCAAAGGTTGCCTTCCCGCTCCTGATGTTAGCTCCTGGCAAAGCAAGGACACTTATCCCAGAACAGCTCAGAAGGGAACAAACACATTCTAAGCCACCCCTGTAATTGTCCTAAGTAAATCCAGCCCCAAACACCTCCTCCTGCCTTTCATCATCACCGTGGCCCCCGGCCCAGCCTGGCCCCTCATTCCAGACACTTCTGTTCATTGCTCCTTGGACTGAAGTTCTCTCCCCTCCCTACCCCCACCTCCATCCACCCTTTCACCAGACTTTCCCAGGTGTTAAGCAACCAAGATGGGGAATGTATTAGGGTTCTCCAGAGAAACAGAACCAATAGAATGTGCAGAGAGAGAGATTTATTTTAAGGAATTGCTCACGTGATTATGGAGTCTTAGTCCATTTGGGCTGCTGGAGCATGATACCATAGACTGCACAGAAATTTCTCACAGTTCTGGAGGCTGGGAAGTCCAAGATCAAGGTGCTGGGAGACTTAGTGTCTGGTGAAGATTGCTTCCTGGTTCACAGGTGGTGCCTTCTTCCTGTGTCCTCACCTGGCAGAAGGAACAAGGGAGTCTCGGGGGTCCCTCTTATAGCCACTAATTCTGTTCAGGGGGGCTCCACCCTCATGATCTTTGATCTCACAAAGACACCACCTCCAAATCCCTTCACGTTGGGGGTTAGGATTTCAACATAGGAGTTCTGGTGGGACACAACCATTCAGTCTCTGGCAAAGGGTCCGGCCAAGTTCAAAACCTGCAAGGTAGGCTGGCAGGCTGGAGACCCAAGGAGGAGCCCGTGTTGCAGGCCAAGTCCGAAGGCTTTCTGCAGGCAGAATTCCCTCTTGCTCAGGGGAGGTCAGTCTTTTCTCCTCTTCAGGCCTTCAGCTCACCGGATGAGGCCCACCTACATTATGGAGGGCAATTCACTTTACTCAAAGTCTACCAATTGAAGTGTTAATCTCATCTAAGAACAACCTCACAGAAACATCCGGAGAAATGTCTGAGCACATAACTGGATGCCTAGGCCCAGCCAAGCTGACACATCAAATTAACCAGCACAGGAGCCAAAGTGAAGGACACAAGGCCTGCTTTCATTTCAGTCTGTTGGAATCTAGGGAAGGAAAGACACCCCAGGGCAGGCACTGGGGGCCGCGCCGGGTCAGGGACAACCTCGGGAGCGCTCAAAGCATAGTGGTGACAGGACCCCACTCTTTTATGCAGGAGGCTGTCCTCAACCCGTTTATGTCCCTTTCCACCTGCAGGTATTGGGTCTAGGTACCCCCCTGCAGCACTAAACTCTTCAACCGATGTATCGTAAGAGCCTGCCTCTGGGCAAGCTCTGTGCCAGGCATGGGGGTACCAGTGTGAGCAGGACGAGTTCCTCATTTCTCTGCACGGCACCCCTCCCTCTGAGCCAGGAGACTCTGTGTCAGCAAAGAGGACATCACTGATGCTGGTCTGTTCCACTGCGCAGGAGAATCTGCCGCTCAGAGAGGCACAGTGTGTGGGCCCTGGTCACACAGCAGGAAGGTGGAGAGAACACCCACGTCCTCCCCGTACAGTCTCCCCATGAGCCTTGGCCTCCCGAGATTCCTCTGGTTTAAGGCAAAATGCTCTCTCAATAGCCCCTGGAACTCGGCCTCCCCCTCTGTCTGGCCGTTCAGGGTTCAAGTCATGATGAAAGGCTATATATATATTTTGTCAAGTAAGTAATTCCTGCATGCAATAAAAAGATACACTATCTTCCGAAGGAAATATAAAAAGTTCACAGCAGCTGTCTCCCCAGTTTGCATTTTCCGCTGCACCTGATGGGAAGGACAGATAAAGATAATGAGATTTTTTTCTCTCTCTCTTTCTTCTTTCACCTTCCTCTCTCCCCGGAAGGTGGAAGTGTAACAAATTGGATTGTGAGTGTGTCTGTCCTTTGTGCTTGGAGCCTGGAGCCGGGCACAGGGCTGCCGGGCAGGAGCT